GGGTTAGAAAATTATGCTAAAATATAGTTATAAATATCTGCCCTCAGGCTCTCTAAAGATTTCACCACCATCAATGAGCCACTATTTATTTTTAAACTCATAATTAAATTAAAAGAAATGTTTCTGTCAAACTAAAATAATTATTCAAAGTTTACATGCGTTACAAAATAGAATTTTAATCCATTGAAAAGAAGAGGTAACTTACAATCCATGACATAAGAACGTGTCCAAGTGGGCATGTAAATGACAATAACATGTTCAAGAGGCATGTAAATGACATAAAATGTGCAAAAGTGGGCATGTAAATGACATAACATGTACAAACTTGGGCATGTAAATGACATAAAATGTACAAAAGTGGGCATGTAAATGACATGAAAACATGTACGACAATGGTTATGTAATGACATGTGATTAAATGTAATCATCATATTCAAATGTAGTGCTTCCACTGTTTACATCCGCGCTATCAAGTATATTTACAGCAAGATAGTGTTTAACAATTGGCTGCAAAATTGAATAGTGCATCAATGTTTAACTTATAAAAGCATTCATTATCTGTGGCTTTAAAGAGATGAATCACTTAATCATTAATACCTTCTTACCAAACAATGATTAAATTCATGTCTAAAACATCAGGTTAACAGTTCAGAACTAATACAATTTTTATAAAATGATGCTCTAACACTAGCATAGAAGACTTCCATTGGGCCGGAAGAAAAGTTAGAATATCGGTAAGAAACACCAACGGATCATCTTTTCTTTTAGGAGCTTCTATTTTCAACAGTGGGGCTACTTTATTTTTAAAAAATTACTGAATCAAAAATAACATTTTGAGCTATTTCTTACCCTCTCTGTTATTGACGTGCTTTTGAGAATGAGAGTCATGTTTGTTTCTAAAAAAACTTGCATTAACATTCTTAAGGACTGCTGGCCTTTACCTCAGTTCTTTTCTTTATTGCTCAGTAGCCTTTTTCCACATACACCTTGGACACTGCATTTTTCACCCAACATTGTATAGACTAAACTTTCAAACAATAATTCTAAACTAAAAGTAGGCCGTGCAGATTAAATTATGGCCCTTTGGTCAACTTCAAAGATACACTGATGCATTTCATCAAGATAATAAACTTTCAAATATCCACTTAAACTTTTTTTCAAATTGTAATACAATATTCCAATCAGAAAATAATATAGCCTATCCAATGTCTTACATTTCTGTTTCTTCCTTTTCCTCCCTGCTCGAGCACTCTTCCCACCTCGTTTGCCTTTCGGTTTAGCCTTTTATCCCCTTCCTCTTTTTCTTCTTTAACTTTTTACTCCTCTTTCTTTTCAGCATCCTCTTAATTAACCCCTGTTATTTCCTCTTGCTTTGTCATTTATTCTTGCCATTTCTTCATCGACCACCCCAGTATCTGTTAGTTTATCCTCTACATTTTGGGACTTTGCCTTATCATCATCTGCTTGCTCATCACCTGATTCAAATTTTGCTTTTTTCAGAGGTGGAGATGTCTCTTTGCCTTCTTCATCAGTTGCAGAGTGTTTTTCTGCCTTTGCTTCTGAAGATTCTTTACTTGGCTTGTCATCCCACTTCTTTTCATCAGATTTTCTTTCTTTTTGTTTTTTCTTCTCTGGCTCTTTACTTTTCACCTTTTTCCTGGCCTCTGCCTCAACCTTTCGTTTTTCTCTCAACACCCTGCGCTCCTCTTCTTTTTGTCTTTCTACTTCCTTCAGTTTCTCTCTGGCCGTCCTCTACTCCTCTTGCTGTCTCCTCTGTTGAGCCGTTATCCAAGTGCCATCATCATCTTCTTGTTCCCCCCTCACCAAAATCACCTCGCAAGGTTGGGCTAAACTGACGATAACTGAAGATAAAACACATTTCAGTCATCATTAACTTTTACTTTAAAATCACCGTCTCATGTATGAAAATAAGAAAAGATTCCAAGGAACAAGGGATATTTCTGACCTCAACTACGCAAGCTGCAGTTTTAATAAATAATTCATCATCATCATGTCCCTTAGTCCTTTGACCGATGGGGCGCCATAGATGACATGTGAACTATCCTCCTCCATTGGTCTCTGTCTTCTGAACTGCGCACAGCATCGCCCAGTGTTAGTCTTGCCCACTCTTTGATGTTATCCTCCCATCTTTTTCTTCCTCTTCTTCTCCCTCCTCTTGTGGTGCCCTGCAATATTTCTTTGGCAAGCCCTTGTTTCCTTGTTACGTGGCCGTACAATTGTAGTTTAATAAATAATTATCAAAGACACAAACAATTGCTGTTTGTAAAATAAAGCATTTTGGGCTTTAAGTGACATATGAATCAAACAAACATGTTTGGATAACAAGCATTCATCAGTGAAAATAACATGACTTTAAGAGGTTCAGTTACATATCATAATCAGTAGCCTATCTTTTGAATAAAGCAATACCAAAGAAGAGCAGAAAAGACAGGAAGTGGGTATATAGTATTTCAAAGATTGGAAACGATTTTGCAGAAAGGTAAGTTTGAGAATCTTATTTATGCCATATGTAGTCAATATATCAAATATTGCAAACAATTTGCTCTTCATATGCATAGTTTCTAATACACTCTTGACATTAAAAAAGGGAGGTGTTATACACAGTCGGGTGGGAATAAGGCTCAACCTTATTCCCAGCCGATAAATGTTTTACTACCGATAGCAATTTAAAAAAAAAAAAAAAAAAAAAAAAGAATGTTGCGGAATTATGGGCTGCATTGAATCTATAATTTTATAAATATTTTGACAGATTTTATTATGATAGTGCTATTATTATACACAGTAGACTGTTTATAACGCTCAGCATAACTCCCAGCCGATAAATTGTGAACTACCGCTAGCCATAGGCGTAGCAAAGGGGGTGCGGATCTCACCGGGTGTCACCTTCGCCGGGGGTGACACTCAATTGAAAAATTGCATATTTACAGAGCACACACTGCTCGGTCCAACCGATTTTCATAAAAGGATAACCAATCACATAGAAATTCTCCACACATGTAACCAATCCAAATGCGTCCTTTATTAAAAGTTATATGTTGTTACGTCAAAAATGAGGTAACCCTATAATAAGGTCAGAAAAACCACGTTTAAAAATGACTTTTTACCCATTTATAGGTTTAACCAGTGACGTAGATGGGGGAAGCGGACCACAATAGGTGACACCATCCCAGTGGGTGACACCATCCCAGTGGGGGACACCCAATATAAAAATTGCATATTTACAGCGCACACACCTCTCGGTCTAACGGAATTTCATAAAAGGATAACCGATCACGCGCTAATTTTCCACACGTGTAACTAATCCCAAATGATGGGTCAGAAACACCTTTTTGAACATTACTCAACGCCGATTGAAGTGTTCGGTAACTTTCATAAATGATAGGAATTAATATTTATCTAAATTCATAGAAATAAAGCTTTCCACTGAAACCAAATATGATATGGTCGGAGGATTCTAAGTAAATAAATCGAATAGGTAAAAATTAAATCCTTAATAATGAATTTTTACCCATTTTTAGGGTAAATAAAAATAATGTTTTACAAAACTTTCTAATAATTTTTAATAATTAATTTAAATTTTTTTTTGTAATTTTTTTTTTTTTAAATGGTTTTTAAAACAAATTTATCGAAACCCAGAAATACGGAAAAATAAATATTTTCATCGACCTTTCACTTGCATCACCTCTTAACATTATAGCAAGATTGTCATAGAGCACAAGATCTTGTACATGCTGTCTGTTGTTTTGTTCGCTGACGAAGACTTTCCGCCAAAACGTTCGTTGTTTTGTTGCGTTCCTTTTTTCAGGTTTAACCCTATTTTGTTTTACTCGTTTTATATTGTGCTACTAGGGTGACCAAACGTCCCGTAAAAACGGCATTGTCCAGTTTTTTTTTTACGATCGTACCCGTTGTCCCGAAAAAGTCTCTCGGGACGATTAAATGTCCCGTTTTTTTAATCAAACACATTTTCTAATCACCAAAACTTCCTAATTTAAAATATAACTTGAAATAATATTTTGGCTAGCTGTGTAGCCAGTGCCAGTAGTGATGTGGGCTCACGTGATGGCTGCACCGTTCCCTCTCCCCCAGTGTCACTGCCATAGATCTTGTATGTGAATGTATGGCGAAAGATACGAGACTTGAAGCCGCAGGGGGGTGGGAGGGGGAGGACGTAACTGTGCAGAAAACAATTTTGATTACACGACCGTTACATGTAATGTGTAAGTCTTATGTGTGATCCCTACCGGCCTGTTCGTGTCAGAGTTACAGCTGTTTGTTTTGGATGTTGAACTTTATCATTAAATGTTATATTATCTTCTCGTGTAAAACATAATTATGCCCAAGTGTCAATGTAAGTTTATGGATGAGTATTCCAAAGAATAGAACTATATTAAAAAGGGACGCTATGAAAGTGAAGCCGAGTGCACAGTTTGCAATAATGCAGAGGCGTATCGAGGGAGTTTGGCGCCTGGGGACAAGATTCGCGCCCGGGGACAAGATCCATTTTAAAGCGCCCCCTTTTCTTTTTTTCAACTCTCAAACCCATTATTTTTACCAATAATATAATATCAAAGCACATTTTGGCGCCCCTAACTATTACTATCTGTCCCCCTTGCCCCCCTCGCTACGCCTCTGCAATAATGTTTTTAGTATTGGTCACGGTGGACGTTCAGACATAAAACAACACATCACATCCAGTGAAACATAGGAAAAGACTGGGTGCCCCAAATAGATTTCTAGGTTAGATTTCATAGCTAAAATCTTTAACTGGTATCCCCCCACCACCGCCCCCACCCCAAAAAAAAACAACAACAACACAACCGTCCTTGAAAGCGTCCCGTTTTTTCCAAATCATGATTTGGTCACCCTATGCTAACCTGATTGCAGTCTCTTCCCTTACTACCGTTTTGCTAGGTACACCGCCACAGGGTAAGCAGGCCTAGGTCCATGGTTTTGCTAGGAACACCGCCGTGGTGCACGCAACCACTTCGTATAAAAATGGCAGCGCCCACGAGTAGAACTGTAAATGTTGAGAATGTCGAATATATTAATTACAGAACACCACTGGCTTCTCGTTATGCCAGCTCTGAAATGCTTAAGAACTTTGGAGATGTGAAAAAATTCTCAACTTGGAGACAGTTATGGCTTTATTTGGCTACAGCAGAGAAGGTAAAAAAAAAAACTTCCAAAAGTAACGGCACGGGATTGTGTTGAGAGTTTCGAGGTCGAAGTGACTATTTCGGACCCCGGCTACCAGAAGTGAGAAGTTGGGATTAAAATTTTTTTTAAATATTATTATTGGTTTGTAAGATAAAATTTGGTATCGAATGAAAGATAATTAAATGGACTATACATTTGTAAACTTAATTCTTCTCTTTAACTAAAATAAACTACAAACAAATGATACCGGTATCCGAAAAGCACTTAGTCAAAATGGACCCCGACAGTCCAGACACGCATCTCCCCTATACGGACCCGGCATGGGTGCCACTTTTCCGGGTTATCCTGGAATTCCGGATTCGTGAAGTTAAATATTTTGCAGCTCCGGATTCGCAAGATTTTATATTCTCTCGCTCCGGATTCACCAGTTCAATTTATTCAAATACAGATTCTGTCTGGGTTGTTTTTGTTTTTTTTTAAAATCGTGTAACAGAATCCGCGAAAGCCTATTTAAATTTAGCGAGAGCGGGTTCGCTAAAAACCGGGAAAATTCCTTGAACATGGACGTTAATCGCTGATCTCGACTATCTTTAGCCTTTCTGTTGCCAGAGTGCTAGTGGTTTCCCCTTGGGCATGTGTTTTGAGCTCTACAAGTTTCGATTACCGTACTACTTCGATAGACCAGAAATATTTCTTTTCTGTTAACATCGCCGATCAAGGGATATTTGAAGTGTTTGGGTAAGCAAACTGTAAAATTTAGTAAATATAATTGTTGGGTAACCATTATTATAAATAGAAAACTACTCGTCCAAGCGCTGCCTAACATGCACACTTTGTAACTTTGTTATGTTTTACTGTATCAGTGTTTGCAGGCGCCATGTTTTTTTTTTAGAAGAGCTAGACAGCGTTTACATTTTTTAAAAGACTTCTTAAGTTCTCTTTACATTTAATTACGGAGTAAGCCTTCTAATTTTAAATAGGCTAATATTATTAAGTTATTTTTATCCATTCAGTTGTGAGCCTAATGTAACTGTATTTAGTTAGTCTTTATTTATTAGTTATGCACTCCTGTGTTCTGATTCTGGGTATACTTTACTGTAAAGTACTTGACGGTAATTCTACTATTACTATTATTCAAAATACTCTGTATTACCTTGTGCCAAAGTTTAATACTGGTATAATATAGAATATAGTCTATATTATTATATATGCCTTACTATAAATTATAAATATGATAATATATTTTATTTTGTTTCAATATTCAGGATCTAGGCTCAATAAAATAATGTAATGCCCAATAGTTCCCTTAAAGAACTGATGGGCACGACAGCAATCATAATTGAGCAAGTCATCACTGCTATATTATGCTGGAAATATTGATATCAAGTATTCAAGGGGAAAGTGTTTATGATGATACCAGCTTTATCACCTATCTTAAGTGTCCACTTCTGCAACTTCTCAATTTATGCGTCAAATTATGAAACTCTTACACTAGTGAGTTTTAAAGTAAAGATACCAAATTTTTTCGTACTAACCCAACAATAATATTTTAAATATTTTTAATAAACCCAACCTCTCACTTCTAATACCGGGTCGAATAGCTCTGAGTAGCCCTTTCAATCAGTGACATATCCTCTTCAACACCGGGCACAGAAACATTGCAACTCCCATCTACATGCTTAGTAATATAGGAGCCAGAATGATCAATAAATTGATTGTGTGACTTAATGTATAGAAGAAGAAGAAGGAAAAGTAGTAAAAGTCAAGTAAAATTTGACAAATTATTTGTCTCCCAAAAAAGAGATGGAATAAGTGATAAGTCTTAACCCATTTAATACGTTTGGCCCCCAATGTGGGTCACCGCGATTTCGGCCGAGTACGTTTGGCCACTCTCTGCATCACCACTGGTTTGTTTCATTTTATTAGTATTACGACTTTTTCCATTCAACTATTTTATTAATAGCTTATCAAACTTTTATTCAGATGAGTTTCCACTTGCTTTGTGTGAAATTTCAAACGGATTAAACCACGTTTAGTTTTGTGTATTCTGTGCTTGATTTTTTCAGTTAAAAAATTTGTAAACAAAAAACAGCTGATCGAAATGGCTTCATCGAGTAATGCTGCTAGTTCTAATCGATCAAGATTTAGGTCCATCGCTGCAGATGAAGCAAGTAAATTGATAACTTGGATGATTCAAGTTCAAATGATGATAAATCTGACGACAGTGATTAGGAAAATTTATTATTTGACGAAACAAGTGATGAGGAATATATTCCTCCGATTACAAAGGGACAAAAATTATCGTTGGAAAGGGGAAAGGGAATAAATTCATAATTTGACAATTTCTGGAGCTACTGCAATGAAATTTTCCAGTTGTTTTGGATATATAATAAGACTCATTTTTTTTTTATCGGCAGCCTGAAATTTTCGTATAACGCAAAGTGTTACTAATATATTCAGTCAATCCTCCTAGGCATAACTCTAATTTTCTAGTACTAGTATTTCATATTAAATATTATACTAGTAATAAAAATATGTAGCCTAAGTGAGACTGCTTCTATGGGCTCTTGTGAGGGAGGGGGGAGTCAGTTGCATGTTTCAATTCTTCATATAGACTTATAGTTCCCCAATTTAGAGAGATCTTAAAATAATGTGAAAGCTTGGAAGGGTATTATTTAGCTTCTTTTAAGCACTCTGATATTTCACCTGGTCCAGAAATTTTCTGCATGAAATGGTTGCAGGGCTATGCCATGCCACAGTGCTTTGATTCAAAGAGGCGGCCATGTAAGAGATGGGGAGGAGCAGCAGTATATAGAAATCGAAATATAAGGGGCGGCAGCGGATTTGACTAGCAAACCGAGGGTCCTAGGTTCTAATCCTGGTGAAGGCTAGAATTTTTTCCTGGTTCTTGAGGGTTTCCCTTAGCCTACCCAGCTCTGGTGAGTACCTGGCATTAGTTTGGGAAAAGTAAAGGTTGCTGGCCTTTGTGTTGGCCACACACTCAGCTAATATGCCTTAGCCACAGAAACTTGTGGCTTCAATAGCCCCATGGGTAGGCCAACATGATCTGAAAATCATTTACTTTTCGAAGACTTGCAATCATATGAATATACCAAGGGGTCCCTCAGACAGAAATTTGTGACCAGCCAAAATCTGAGCATAATTCCAAGCATCAGCAGACCAAGATTTTTGAATAACGATGAGCGTTGTGCGCACAGCTGTGGGTATAATCACTTCGTTTCATTATTAAAAGTATTTTTAAAGTAGAATACCATCTTATTTAAAAAAAGCAACAACCATTAATTAAATTCAATTATTAATGATAATTATTTTTAAAAAGTAACATATTTTCTGGAGTATGAGATGACTTTTTGACCCATGAAAATCTTTTCAAAAGTCTGGGGTCATCTTATACGCCGGGAGTTGTCTTATAAGCTGGTATACGGCATGCTGAAACTTCAGGGACAGGGGCCCTCTAGTTCAAGTTTGGTTGACAGCTTAGAAAACAAACAGCATGGCAGCTCCCATGGGTTTATTGTCTTATCCTACTTTTTAGCTTTAGAGTGAATTGGAAAAGTTTAATCGACTTGCACTGTTTTATGTTTACATGTTTGATGACAAACAGCCTTATGTTTATAAGTGACAGTTTTCCTGCTAAATACCTGCACGTCGTAAGCATTTGAATAAAATTACCGTATTGAAATCAAGTCTGATGTTTTTAACGTTTATTTGGTGTGCATTGGAAGAGGGGTAGTGTTACACGGTTAGTATAGCCCAAACCCTATATTTTAACAGGAAATTTAGGGGTCGTCTTATAAGTCCAGCCGTCTTATGCGCCGGAAAATACAGTATAATTAAGGAATCCTTTGTCATTCACAGCGCCATTGTGGTAAAAGAGAACTCTTCTGTCATCAAAGAAATGCTTGTGTGTTCCCAATAGGATGTTATTTAATTAAGTCTTAAGTCTAGGTGTCCGCTAATGCCGCAATTTCTTTCTAAAACAATAGTGGGTTTTCACTAAGAGGTAACAGCTTGGGTCTGATATACTCAGTGATATTTTGCTTGCTGCGCGTGTGCCCTCAAAATGGGTTAATAATTCATCAAATGACCCCACTGTAAACTGAAGCCTCTGAGTCTGACTAAAGTGTCTATTTTTTTACCTTACTTTTACTGTAAAAAATTGCTTTAGGCCTGAAGCTGGGGAAAAAAATGAAAAAATCTGGCCACACATCTGTTGAATGGACAGTAAACAAACGTATGGATCAACTGGTTTTTTAATACGATTTTTCATATTAAAAATCCACTTCAAACCAATAAAAATAAATAACTAACTAATTGAAAACAATAAATATTTGTTCTATTAACCATTGAAGGTTTTAATGTAGTTCCATCAATTAAATATGAAGTTTTTAATTTATTGCACTATAATTAATTTTTTTCACTAAAATTACCTAGGCCTACTTAATAAATAAATAAATACAAATATTGAGTGGTCTAAGTAAAAAAAACTAAAAGGTTTGGAAGTTTCTCTTTGAAATAAATTATTAATGGATTAGCGACATCAGTTTTGACAAAAGTTATCTACCCTGTCATACAGGAGCAAATATTTGTCTATGCACCCAAAGTCCAGTGTTTAGATTCCCCAAAGTGAAGTCACTGAGCTTAAGGTGAGACAACTCTTGGCAAAGTCCATGGAGGTAACATCACTTTAACCCAACCATGTGTATGATAACTTTTCCATTTTATGCGGAGCATTATTCACGTCATAAACTAAATCTAACTATTGATAAATTTAATATGAAATAAATTAAAATGAAAATTTCCATTCAGTTTTATAAAAATTTAACTTACAAGGTTCAAAAGAAATTATTTTGAAAGTAAAATCCTTGCTGATACCCAAAGATGAACACTGGAAAAAAAGACCCCTTCTTCCACTTTCTAGAATCAAATAAAAAAGTTAGAGAAAAACTTTTATCATACAAATACAGAGATAAAAATGAAAATCTTTTAAATACAGAACTTTGCCCGACAGTTGACCTGGCGAACCTTCATGACTTAAATAATATAAATATCATGGAAGACATCGCCGTCCCTGTCGCTAACTTGACCTCGGCCATATTAATGTCATGGCTTGTCAAATTGATTAGGTCAATTTCAATTTTCAGTTTAACTTCAAAGTAATTTAAATCTATATTAGGATTAGGCCTATTAGAAAGATCTCCTTCAGGCATTTGGTCATGGAAATTCCACTTACTTCTAGCTTGCAGTCTGGTTTAATGTTAGTAAAAATATAAATGAACAAATTAGGATAATGCGAAATGTTCTGGTAATAATGTCAAGACAATGAACTGCAACAGCACTTTGATAAGTTAAGCTTATTAACTTTATTATCTCTGCCTACCTGTAAGAATGTCATTATTAAATAACTTGACAGAATTCGTGCTATACAAATAATTGTATGTTGATGTTGCCATTAAATTGGCATAAAATATATATTTCAAAAATGCTTTTTTTAACCCATTAAAAAAAAAAAAAATCAATATTCTTTTCAAGGAACTTGGCTTGGACATAAGTGATGAGCAGCTTGAAGAAATGAAAGAGAACATCTATAATATTGATTTTAAACGTGCAGCAAAAGAAGAGAAAAAATATCGGCATGATGTGATGGCACATGTCCACACGTTTGGTGCAGTATGTCCAAAAGCTGCTCCTATTATTCATTTGGGTGCAACATCGTGTTATGTTGGCGATAACACTGTGAGCAAAATATTTTTATTTTCAAAATGATTATTTTAATGTTTAGAAATTTCCTGTTGTCACTATCAAGTTCAAGTCTGATTGAGGAATTGAACTAATTTTGTGTGGGAAGCATACTGTCAAAAAAAGAATAATGTCAAAGATAAATTTAAAAGACAATGTTATGGAATAGTTTTTATAAACAGGACTATATTTAGCTTGTTAGATGGACAAGGAAGAGATTCTAGTTAATTTGTTACTACTAAACTTTATGGGAAATGTAAGTTTCTTTATTAATTTCATGTGTATATTATGTTTTATATTTATGCAGGATTTGATTGTACTAAGAGATGGTCTTGAAATTCTTAAGCCCAAGGTAAATATATTTGATCCCATGTTTGATTTTGATACAGTTAACTTTGTTTTACCTTGGTTGAGGACCACATATTTGTTTTTGTTCACCATCTGTTACTTTAAGATTAGAAGTTTATTTGAATGTTTATTAGATGTCGTGCCATATTTTAATAAATCTTATTTTATGTGCCAGATTGCTTCTTGCATCAATGAGTTGTGTAAATTTGCATTGAAGAACAAGTCCCTTCCCTGTTTATCATACACTCACTTGCAGTAGGTTCTATTTCATTCTTTTGATAACTGTGATAATTTAAATTTAAAAACTTCTTTTCTCCTTTCAAATCCATGGGGTTTGTCTGTGAGTTTGTAGCCTAATTTTATTTTAACATAAGACTGAGTGAGCTCTCTCGGTTAATTGTCTGACTCATGCTGACCTGAAAGGTCACCCGAGTTGTTGACACAGAGTGGAAGCTCTGGTGGGATTTTGTAAGCATTCTTTGTTTTAAATTCTACCTCTTTCCATAATTTAAAGATTACAATTTTAATACAAAAAAAGTAGAATATAAATAATTTTTTATGTCATTGAAGAGATTGCACAAACAATGAAGTAGAAAGTAATGTCAAATTTGTTAAAATGCAATACGCAAAGAAATTATTTACAGAAATTATATTTTTATTTTCTATTTATTATCAAGAGTATTTAAAATGTGTGCTTCAGAACTTAAATGACCATCACCACCCTACATAATACAAAATATTTAAACCAATCAATATGAATTGTCAATGTGAACATTTTACTACCTTTGAAAAACATATCTCTTTGGAGAAAAGATAGCACAAAAACTGTATGAAAAGAATAATATAAAGGGATTGCATTCAAGATTTTTTAACCTAATAGAAAGAAAATCATCATCATCATTGGCACTACAGCCCATGCCCTGGCCTGCTCCACCACATCCTTCCCTTCGGATCGATCCATGCCTTTCCGCCTCCATGCGCAAATCCCCAACTGGTGTCAATAATTCTACATCATCAAACCATCTCAGTCTTGTGCAACCAGTGAGCCGTCTGCCCCTGGGCTTCTGCCTGTATATCACTTTTGCTGCTCTACAACCAGGCATCCTTTCAATATGTCAAGCGCAGTCTGCCTTTTAGAAAGAACAGGATATGTGAAATTTTGAATGAAAATACAGCACAATCAAAAGAATCTTTCGGATAAAAGGCTGGTCATCAGACAAAACAATTTTTAAAATGAGAATGAGAAAACTTAAATATAGCTTGCAAGTGACAGGAATAATCATTATTGTAGTGAAAATTCATTCAAGCCTTGACATGTCCCATTTTTACTTTTTCTTTTATATAAAGTGCTTATGAATATGATCTATTTATTATCAGTGTATGTTATTTAATTATCATTTATCATTAATTCTATCCAATTTTTAGAATACCATGCTGTAGTCAATTTGACACAACTCCAATATACTAACTCTGGTTGTTATTTGATAGAGCTGCTCAGGTATCCACAGTTGGTAAAAGGGCTTGCATTTGGGCTCAGGAGTTGCTCATGGATCTTAAAAATATGGAGAGAATCAGTAGTGAGCTACGTTTTCGTGGTGTGAAAGGCACAACTGGAACACAAGCAAGTTTCCTGACCTTGTTTGAAGGGGATGCCAGTAAGGTAGAAAAATTGGATCAGCGTGTCACAGAACTGTCAGGTTTCAAAAGGTGAACAGTTTTTAATAACCTTGTATGGGTCTGTAAATAAATTATACTTCCTTAGAGAGTAAGGGTGTAAGTTTTTTGTGGTTTTTTTATTAGCAAAAAAAATTTGTATATGCGTAGTACAGATTTTAATTAAATTCATTAAATTTATGAATACATAAAAGGGAGAGGGGTGTATTCCATTAAATATTTCATTATTGTTTAATATACACTTTTCAGTCATTTCATCATTTGTGGACAGACATATCCCCGAAAGGTTGATGTAGAGATACTATCAGTGTTTGCTAGTTTTGGTGCAACAGTGCATAAGGTATATAGTCCATTTGAAATGCATTGCTAAAGTGAAATATTAATTATTTTCATTTTTACCATTTTATTCCAAGCAGTTATTGGAAGAGCCTCTTCATTTTTACTTTCATGTCTTTAAGTAATCTTAAACACTTGAGCTAGATGGTGTTAAAATCCTTCACCGCTGTTCAATTGATATTCACAAGATTTTATGCATAAAGTATTATTTGAAGTTGGGATTTTTAAGGGAATTTCTTAAAAATGTTTGCACTTTATCATGGCACTTTCTTTCAATACATCTGTTCCAAAAAACTTTAACTGAAAATAAGATTTGATTTATATACTTCTTTTTAATTTGCAGATCTGCACAGATATTAGGTTACTAGCAAGTTTTAAAGAGCTTGAGGAACCTTTTGAAGCAGAACAAATAGGTGGTTTGATTTTTCCCCCTTTAGATCAGTTAAGTGTCCAAAGGAAATATTTCATTCTTTGTACTTTACGCCTCTTCAAAATGTTTTGTTCAGGGTTTTTTATTTATATTATTTTTAAAACATTCATATCTTTACTACTAGCATTTAATTATTTTTAAAACATTGATATCTTTACTACTAGCATTCATCATTACTTTTCCTTGAGACAGAAATGAAAATGTTTGAACAATTTTTACATAATACGCTTAAAATTTAGAGATTTTTTACGCCTGAAATAGCCTTATGAAACCTTGTGAAGTACTTATTCTGTTAGTGAAATACTTAAATTATTATGACTTCAGATGTGCTGTATTGAAAATCTGTATATAAAAAAAACTTCTCACTTGAAAGGAATTTACATCTGCATAATTATTGTGTATTTATAGCATTGCCTGATGATAAATGGCTAACTATCTCTTTTACTTTTTTAACCAGGCTCAAGTGCTATGCCATACAAACGTAATCCCATGAGAAGTGAAAGATGCTGCTCGCTGGCCAGACTACTTATTAGTTTAGTTCAGAATCCTCTGCAAACAGCTTCAGTGCAGTGGATGGAGAGAACCCTTGATGACAGTGCCAATCGTCGTGTTGTACTCCCAGAGGCTTACCTGGCTGCGGATGCCATTATTATTACTCTTCAAAACATTTTCGAGGGTTTGGTTGTCTACCCTAAGGTTAACTTGCAATGCACTTTTTAAGATCTGTTTGATTTCACAATAATTACTGGTACTTAATTTGCTTTCAAATTTTATTGGCATCACATGCTTATCACTCATAGAATTCTGTTATTTTTTAATTTCTTTGGTATTTATTTTTGAACAATTATGACAGTTTAACATGACTTAGTGAAGAAAGCATGCTACAAGATATAATAATATATCAGTACAATTCATGTGTCTTCAATAAACAACAACTTAGAAATACTTTAGTTTGCTGAACAAATTTTCAATTTGATTAGTGTATGATGATGCTTATCTTTAAAATGGACTTATGACTTATGGTTTCCCTTATAGTTATAGTCCAATGTAAATATATTATTTTACGCAGGTGATACAGAAAAGACTTGATGATGAGTTGCCTTTTATGGCAAGTGAAAACATTATAATGGCTGTGGTAAAAGTAGGGGGAAATAGACAGGTGAATGATATTTTCACAGTGAATATTTGTTGTCTTTCATTTTTAGCTGTTTTGCTGAGTTTGAATAGGTTATCTTTGAATTCTGACTTTTTTTCAAATACACGTACAGACAAGAAACTGGTTTAATTATTTCTAAATTAACATTTTTATTTATGTAAAGGTTCCCTATGGGGATGTAAATGTTTACCGACACATTAACAAGAGCACTTACTCAAATATTGCTAATTTTAATTTGTTCTGTCTTGGTTACAACTGCAATTAGTTATCTGAACTAAATTTTGTTTTCATCAGGAGTGTCATGAAAAAATTCGTAGCCTAGCCATTCAGAGTGCACATGTAATGAAACATGATGGGCTTCCATGTGATCTGATGGATAGAATTAAAGAGGATCCATATTTTACAACCATTTTAGACACCCTGGACACCTGTGTGGACTCAAACTCTTTCATTGGAATGTCAACCCACCAGGTACTTATCGAAATATTTTTTTCTTCTGGCTAAGATTAATACTCAATTCCTTGAACCAGTGGTTCTTTATTATAATATTGAATGTGATTTTGCTTTATGTCAAGCAGTGAATCAATTTAACTGGTAAACTACCATAAGCCGCCAGCCGCAGGGCGTTTCTTTTGTTATGGCCATGAGCCGCTGGTAGCGCCAACGTTTGTATCGTAGTCAACATGACCTAGATTTAATTTGGCCAAGCCGGTTTTTCATTCTGGTAGCCAATCAGTTAAGCTATGTAGAATTTCTTTAAGATTCGTCAGCAAATGTTATTTTTTCATAGGTTGACAGATTTATAGAAGAAGAAGTGAATCCAGTGCTGGTGAAGTACCGAGACATTTTTACAAAAGCTCAGCTGCTTGAAATTTGAAGTTATTGGTAAAAATTAATGTAGTATTTGGACATTCTTTGATGTATAAACAGAGTGAATAAATGGATTGGTAGTGGTGTTTTTTTTTTAAACTTTAAAGTAAAACAAAAGTGTAACTTAAAGACTATTAATGACAGGATATGTGACAGGTTGAAAAACAACCAATTAAATGAATGTTATTATGACAGCCAAACAAGGAAGAGTAAGCCATCAGCATTGCTTTTGGTTACTGCTAGTACCAATGTTTGGTTTAAAGATTTCTGTTCCACTAAATCTTAAGATTCAAACAAATGAACGTGTGCACAAAATTATATTTAAGTTGTTCAAATATTCCACCATTTTTTATTGTAAACCCTTTTCGTTGTAAAAAAAACAATCATGTAAATTGAAATTTAAAAGGGCATTGAAAATAAATTTTCAAATATAATGCATTTATTATCATAACATTTAAATTGAATGATTCAATATTGGAAGAGTTTTTTGCTCAACTGTTTGCAAAATTTACATGTTTATACTACCTTTCTAATGACATTGCATTTTTTAAAAACATAGAAATTTGGTAATTGCTTCTACATTTTCCTTGTCGGGTTTTATTTTTTTATATCAAGGGGTGCAATATGTACTTGCAGGAAATTAAATTAAAGCATGTTAATCACAGTATTTCTTGGTGTTGTGCAATGTTGTATTAGGTTTGTCCATTTTTGTGTTTTGTTCTCAATGTGATAGAGGACCATTTAATTTAGACTTCAGTTACTCTTGGGTTGTGGCGAATTTTCTCTGGCACTGTGCACGCTGTTAATAGAAGAGGGGATGCAATTTGGTGAAATCTCAACCATGAAATTGATAGCCTAGTGATAATGACAAAGGAAAGAGACTGCCATCGGGTTAGGTTAAAAGAAATAGGTGATAACAAAGTATGGGAAAAGCTGAAAAAGGGACGCAACAAAGAACATGTCAGCAAGAAGCAAACTTAACGATAAAAACAATACAAAAATGAAAATAGACACAGCTGCAATGTAGTATTCAAGAGGACAGCAAGGGGAATGTAACAGACCATTAGTAATAGTAAGAGAGTTAATGTAGGTAATGGAGACCGACAGAAAGTGATTTTTTCATTGAGGCCCAAAGTTTAAAATGACTTTCAGCCAAAACCGAAAAAAAGGCCGAAATTTAAAAATGACTTTCGGCCGAAACCAAAAATGAAATATTTTGATATTCGTTTGCCGCATACATTCTGCATACATCAAAAATGATTTGTTATACCGTATTTTGTATGAGGATTATAATGGTAAGAACCATTTTAAACTCGGAATAAAAGTTTTTATTTTATAGCTTTTTGTGAGACAAACATGGCAAAGAGTGCGGCTTTGAGAAAAGTTTTTAAAAGTAAGTTGCCGGGTAATGCCCAACCATAATTGTGTAAATCGTAGCAATCTGATACATTATCAAAGGATCCATATTAAAATTGCGGCTAGTGTTTACAAGTGAGGTAAATTCCGATCCTGTCAGCTCGGTCACTTTCTAAATCTTCTTCTTATGCCTTTTACTGGGTCTCTACATTTTTTAGACTTCAAAACACAGACGGCCACTTTTCAGCTTTTTGCTGACCCTTTCTCCTTTAATGTGCAAGATGCCCCGCGCGTGGAGCTGCATGGAAAAACAGACAAGCATGGACATTTTATTGTGTTGCCTTCCACCTTCCCTGAAATTTTTAGGTTTTTTAAGCGGAACATACGACTTTTTGAGAGTACCTATCTGTGTGAATACCTCTTTTCCACTATGCACTTTAACAAGTCAAAGTTCAGGGCCAAACTTACTGATGAGTATCTTCAAGCTATACTGAGAGTCTTAGTACTTAGTTGCTTCCTCACTCAAGCCAAAGTTGCTCAGCTGTGTAAAAAGAAGCGCTGCCAGGTCTCTGGCAACAGTGAGTAGGTGGAAGAAAGTGAATCCTAGTTCTTTATAACCCTTAATGTTTTTATTGTTATTTATAAATGTTGAACAGATTGTAACAGTTGTAATCGCTTTTTTGTGGAATACTTGATGCGGCACACTCTCACTCAGACACCACCTCCTGCGGCCCCCCTGATGATTAGAGTTTGAGACCCTTGATCTAATGAATACTTTGGATTTTTCTATTTTAATATAAAATTAATTTAAATTGCTTTACAATTTTTTAAAATTAGTATGGTAGGAGAAAATTTGGCAAAAATGGGAAGTGGGTGGAGGGGGGTGTAAAATTAATGCAAACTAGACTCTTGAGTGCCTTTGCTTTTATAATATAATTACAACCTAGAATATATACCTACAACAATTATTGTGGCTCTAAATCTAATAGAGCCAATTGCCACCTAAATATATGTAATTGAGGCTATAACTATAAAAATATCACCACAATGTTTCGCTGTTTTCGTAATACTAATGCTTTTGTTTTCATTAATAGCTTGCAAGATATCACTATTAATATTCAACCTAGTAACAATACACTAGTCTTTCCGTGGTGCTGGTGACGTAATTTTTTCGTTTGAAGACTAACCTCCCTTACCCCCATTGGTGGTGAAAATTATTTTTTTAAACTGGGTCTCTTAAAATTGTTCTTCTAATCATGGCTCTAATAGATCACTTAATTTGTTCTTAAAGATCGCTTTATTTGTTTTTAAAGATTGTTTAGTATGTTCTTAAAGACCGCTTAGTTTGTTCTTAAAGATAATTTAGTTTGTTTTTAATGATCGGTTAGTTTGTTCATAAAGATCGCTTAGTTTGTTATTAAAGGTCATCGATTTTGTTCTTAAATATCGCTTAGTTGTTCTTAAAGATCACTTTGTTTTTTCTTAAAGATCGCTTTGTTTGTTCTTAAAGATAATTTATTTTGTTCCCTAAGATCGATTAGTTTGTTCCTAAAGAACATATAGTTTTCTGTTAAAGATCGCTTAGTTTATTGTTATAAATCATTTAGTTTACTATTAAAGATCATTTTTGTTCTTAAAGATTATTTAGTTCATTCTTAAATATTGTTTAGTTTGTTCTTTAAGTTTAAGATCGTTTAGTTTGTTATTAAAGATCGCTTAGATTGTTTTAAAGAGCGTTTAGTTTGTGTTTAAAAGTCGCTTATTTTGTTCCCAAAGATTGCTTAATTTGTTCTTGAAGATCGCTTTATTTTCTCCTAAAGATCATTTAGTTTTTTCTTAAATGTCACTTAGTTTGTTGTTAAATATAGCTTTCGCTGAGTATTTGATGACCGAAACCAAAAAAAAACCCTAAAGTTAACTTTTCTCTTTCGGCCGAAACTGAAATTAAGCCGAAAGTTAACTTTTCAGTTTCGGCTGAAACCGAAAGTGATAAAATGGCCACTTCCGGCGCTGAAGCCAAAGCCGAAATTCGGTCTGTCTCTGGTAGGTAATAGGGGACGGAAGTCAGGAAAACGTCCATGATGATTGGTTGAAACGGGAGGGGGGAGGGGAAAGATTTAAAAAGTGAAGAACAAGACATTTCAAGCCCTGTTCTGTCAAGTGGGTGAGTTGATACTAGACAATGGCAGTAATAGCCATGTGGTCACTTCTTATTGAAGTATTTTGAGATAGGTCACTATCTTGTGCAATATTTGGAAGGTGTTCAATACATCTGTCCGAGAGGCGCCATCATCTCTCCAAGATACGCCATCCGGCAGCGGGTACTATCAATGGCGTAGATACCATTATGGCAAAGAAAACCATCCCTTATCTGGAAACTTTATTTCAGGAATGGAATGGAATGGTGAGTCTGGATTACATAAGGGCAAGTTTAAAAACAGCTGTGTCCACATAGCTTAGTTCCTCCATATGACTTAGTCCCAAAGTGAATGAGGGTAGTGCAGATGAACATTTCCTAAATTCATATCTAGCCTTTGAGGTAATAATAGCCTAGTTATAAGCTAGGTTAGATAGACTAAACAAATTTTTTTTTAAGCCAGAATGGGGAATGCAACACTTGCAAGATCAAAAGAAATTACTAATCAGGAAATGTCACCTTCATATTTCCACTTTCTGGCTAGCTATTATATTAGAGCATATGCCAAATTACATCCTTAAAAATGGTATAAACATCACATATGACCAAGTCATAACTGATCACCAAAAAGATATTATTTTCTGCAATTTAATAAGCACCTGGGCACCACAAGGCTGCATTCTCTCTCCTGTACTGTATACAATATATACCAAATATATTCAAAGCCACACCGTTTCAATCTTAAAATTTGTTAATGATACCACCATTGTTGGCTTAATATCCACTTAGTTACAAGCTTTATCAATTGGTGCGATGAAATTTAATGAAAATGTTCTCCAGCTGAATGTCTCAAAAACAAAGGAAATGGTTGTTGATTTCAGGAGGGGTAAACACCAGATTACAGATCTCAACATAAAAAACCAAAGTGTAGAGAAAGTGGAGGCATACAAGTACTTAGGTGTCACCAATAATAATAAGCTAAGATGGTATGAGCGCAGCCAAATCCTGTATAAGAAATTCAACCAAAGACTTCTACCTAAAAAAACTGAACAATTTTGGTGTAAACAGGCAAGTCATTAACTTATTTTACAGTGCAACAATTGGAAGCCTACTTGATTTCAGTATTACCTGCTGGTGTGGGAATTCAACGTCTGATACTAAACACCGCATAAACCCACTAATCAAGAAAGCTAGGAACATAACACAAACTAAACATCCTTCACTTGAAAAACTATTTGAAGAAAGATGTTTTTGTAAAACTAAACACATTTTGGATGATACTTCCCACCCTCTTTATCACAAAATACTTAGGATCGGATCGTTCGGGACGAATTCTTTCCATCAAGGCGAGGACTGAAAGATATAAAAATTCTTTTGTTCCCCAATCAGTACGAATTTACTGGCGTGCTCCCTCTGAAGTCACACATCTTTATGAGAACTAATAAGTTCCTGATTTGGCTAAGAGAACTCACTGAATGGCTGTTTGAAATAATTTACTATAAATGTCTTGTGTTCAAATTGTTTTATTTATGTGCTGAAAATGTATAATGGAATCAAAAACAATTTCCATTTATTTGGATCAATAACAGAATCTTATCTTATCTTAAAAGGATTAAAGTTAAAGAAGCAGATGTGCTGCTAGATTTAGAAAATTAGTAAGTTTTCCACAAGTTCAAGGTTCACTGGACTAAAACTATGGATGAAATACTATATTGTCTGACCTAACAGCTGGCCAAGTTTTGTATACTTGTCTTGATCATCATTTTGACTTGTGGATAATTTAAAATAGGAATTATTTTAAGTTGCAAATATGCGGTACACATGATTTGCAAACTTTTAGAATTAAGAGTTAGAAAAAGACCACAAAAATCTCATAATAAAAGAACATAATTTATTGATTTTTATGACAGCAGGTTTCTTTTTCAAAAATATTTTTTTTAATCAAATGGACTAAGCATTAAAAAGAAATAATAAGATATAATAAATAATGAAATTAAATACATTTCTATCATTTCAGGATTTGGAAACTTTTAAATTAATTTAAAGAATTATTTTTAACCCTAGCCTTTTTTCCTTCATATTATCAAATACATGTTGGAGATATTCAAACTTAAAAATCAGAATCCACCTCTTAACAAAATTTAACTGCCAACAAGAATATTAATTTAAATTTAACTATATACAATAAGAAAGACAATCTAATTTTTAAAGCAGACGTTTACAAATAATGTAATATTAATATTACCGTACATGTACACTTAAACACGGATAGGCTTCAATGGCAAGCTTGTAATATTTAGTTTAAAAAATGAAAATCAATTAAAAGGATAGAAAAATCCAATATTATTCTAAATGCATAGGTGATTAATTAGTCTAAAATTTTGTTGAGCTAGATTTTTTTTTAAATTTGATTACGATCATACCAGAAACTTTTTACTCAAAGCTACAACTAGCATGCTCAGCAATCTGACTAGGAACTTGTACAAAGGCTTTCAAATAGTGATTCTTTAAATATATATACGGTAATTACTTTACTATAGAGAATGGGGATGAATTTTTAGACAGCTTTCTTGTTAATTTAAAAGGCCTAAAAAATTTGCAAATAAAACAAGCAAAACAAATAAAATGTACAAGTAATTCACAAAATTGTCACAATGTAGGTAAAAGATAATATATGATACACTTTCTATCAGAGAGGTATTAAAAGTAACATATGAACTAAACTTCAAATTAACTAATGAATGGAACACCATTTGGTTACAAGAGCATTAAGGCAAAAGTTACTAAGTTAAATTACATACACTGAGTGTGTAATAGTAATAGTAGTTGACAACCATAGATGGATATACTTGTGTGTTAAACACAACCAGTAAAATTACAATTTTTAGTTATCTTCTTCAACCCATTCATCATCATCCTCTGTATCTCTTAACTCATCCTCAGTTTTCTCTTCTTTGTTTTCATTGGTCTCCCCAGAACCAGGTTCTGAATCTGCACCCAGAGTTTGTGTTTTGTCAGGACAACCCCCATTTTCTTCTAACACCTCATCTTCTGTTCTCATGGCACTTAGTGGCTGGGGACTTGTCACAACCTGTAAAGACCTTAATCATTACTAAGGCACAAACAAGAAAATGTCAAAGGGAAAGTAGACCAGTTTAAAATAAAAACAATTAATTAAGCAATATGAGCTCTTACATTTTACACAGACTTTTGAACACATGCTTGGTGTTTGGTTATATTTGCTAACTATTTAAGTGCACAGCTACAAACAATGACACTAATAAATCTAATGTGAATATATGAAGCAGAATAAAATTATTTGTATTTTGCAGTGTTAATTGGCCACAAAAATTCACTTTAATTCAGTGTGGGAAAGGACATTAAAAAAAAGTATTTTGAATTTGTTTCTTTTCAGAGCACCAAATATTACAAAGTAACACATATTTAAACAAATAAATAAATAAGTAACCTTTCTTCTTGTATTTGTACATGTATTGCTAAATAACACCTTGTAAAATGGAGAAACCAGAATTGTGTTTAAAAATGCAAAAAAAAATAATGCTGCTGAAATTATGATTTAAGTAAAATTATGCCTCTTCACCATTTTGTAAATTGAGATGCAAAATATTAGAAATATTTTGTTATTATATTAATATCTGCTGAAATTATGATTCAAGTAAAATTATGCCTATTCACTATTTTGTAAATTTAGCTGCAAAATATTACAAATATTTTGTTATTATGTTAATATCATATGCAAATTACTTGGTGGTTAGTGATAATTGAAAATACAGTTGGATGCTTGGAAAATGAATTTACATCAATGTTAAATTTCTGCAAATACCCTACATGGTGACATATTTATTATTAAAAACTGCATTCCTCAAAATAATACTTACAACAAGATTTGTTTTAAATTTAAAGTTTGCCATATGTTGAAAATATCTTTAGTTCTGTACATTTTTTACATCTAACTCAGCTGCTATATTAATAAAAAAAATGTGTCAATGTATCAGATCTTTTGTAAGCAAAATAAAACATTACCTCATATAGAGAACTATTGAACACTTTTGACAAGAAGTTAAAAAAAAAACCACCACAATTTCATAGATTTACCCTGATTTATTATATATAATGAATATTAGCAAAGCGATCAGCTAATAGAACCCTAAAATTCATGATGACTCAACACATTAACTGTTTTAAATACAGCAATAGTGAATAATAAATTAAGTAACAAAATGGTGTGCAACTCAAACGTGACCAGACGAAATTCAGTCATTTTTCTCTCTAAAATTCAATTGTGATCGTAAAATTCTTTGAATCAGCAGTTGGTATCAACAAAAAAAATTTCTGTCACGATTGTATGAAATACTTTGGAATGCTTCCAGGAAAAAGAATATTTTGGGTTATTGGAACAGTAATATTTCAGCAGTTTACTAAGAATTTCCAAAATATTGTAAATTTAATTAAGTTAGCACGTTTTGTGATACTAAGTTTAAGTGCACTTGGTTTAAGTGAATATATTATAACCAAATATTTTCATATGGAGATCAGTTTAAAAAATATTTATAAACAAAGATTGTGCTCATATAAAATGGAATGAGTTCAGATTTTTTAATAAGTTCTAAAATTTTAACCTGAGATGCTTAGAATAACCTGAAAATAACTACCTCATTCTTACAAGCAGTAGAACAGAGCTTTAAAAAAAAGCAACATAAAAGAGAATAATTTACTTATAGCGAAATCATTTAAAACATGCAATGCTTAATAAATATTATATCATAACCGAGAGATTAGATCCAACTAGGGACTAGATGACAATTTTCTAAAAGTTTTAATTTCTGTAAGTATCTGATTAACACTACCCAACAGCAGTTAGTCACTTTGTATAAAAGGTCAACTGAAATTTTAAAGGCTTAATGATAATTACTATTTTAAAAAAATTTTCTTACATTACTACACAAACGATAATTTGCTAATGAAAGCTTAGAAGATCTTGATTTTATTGCTCACACCAAATATGTAATCCACAATGTTAAGGAAATTAAGTTTTGCATTAGATCATTGTTTTATATTAATAAAAAAAAATGTATTTAAAAACATCTAGAAATTGTGATTCTGCAAAATGTTTAGGAGAAAGATAAATGCAAATATTTGCATTCATTTTTTTTTGTTTAAATACTTACACACAACTAGTTACCAGTAATATAAATTAGTAAATGTAGCACTGAAATTATTTGATCATGCAGATATGAAACTTAAGCTGACCCACCATAATGCATACATGTGCACAATGAATTCCTCACAAGATAATTTTATTATACTGCACTGAGCCCCTTCCACTTGCATTAGATAATTTGGTTTTAGAAGCAGTCTACAAAATAAAAACACATTGTCTGTTAGAATACCATTAGCAATATCCTTTTTTAGTAAACCAGACAAACACATGAGTTAAAACAAGGGGATCAACAAGAAAAGAAGTTTTATAATCAAGGATATAATTGTGTTAATCATATCAAAATGCAATTTATTGATACAGCCACTAAATTTAAAAAAAAATTATGAACAGTTGACCATAAGCAGAACTAACAGCAAATGAACAGAATGATGAAATAAGCCATAACATAAGCTCTAGGAATTAAACACATTGCATCAATGACCATACATGATAAGCATATTGAACATATGCAAAACAGTGCAATGAAATCAAAGGGAAGGGGAGGCAAGATTGGGATTTCCAACAGCATGTATACAATTGAGATTGAACAGGAATGAAAGTTGAAATCGGGTATAATGGAGTTTAATTTTAAATGCTATCAAAATTCCTGTCAGTAATTTTTATAATTTGCATAATATGAAGAATAAATGGGCATCAGATATTTTTAGAGGTGCTTTACTTTTTTATTTTTGTCTCAATTGCATACAGATTCTATGAATGTCCCTAAAGTAGCTCTATGATCTATCACACAATCACTGTGAGCATACCTCATAAGCATTGGGATCAAAAGTTCCTATTTCAAAAGCTCCATTATCATCAGCCTGGTTCTGGCTTACATTTGGCTCATATGAATTAATGGAAGGATTTTGTTGCTGATCCGCCTGATGTTGCTGCTGTACATATTGTTGTTGTAGCTGTTGAAGCTGATATTGCTGCTGCTGTTGTAGTTGTTGCTGTTGCAACTGCTGTTGAAGCTGTTGTTGCTGCATTTGAAGCATTTGTTGCTGCTGAGCTACTGGAACAGAAGGTCCTGGATGCTGGAGACTTGGAGGGAGTGAAGAATTAACTGTGTTGGCAGCAGGTGATGAGTTATCCATTGCAATAGGTGGTGGTGGAACACGAGTGTTAGCAATCATCTGACAATAGACGTTTAAAAAACAACTTTTTTTAACATTCTTTAAAAACAGATACTGTCGTATATGTTAATTCTTTAGCTAAAATCTTTAGTTAGACCAACCCTTTGCAACTAGGAAATGAAGAAAAAAAAAACACAAGGATATCTTCATAAAGATTCCCACAAGAATATTAGTTTGTCTTGTGTAAGATGATTAGGTTGCTAGCTGCCCTAAATGAATTTTAAAAAATCAGCAAAAGGCAGTGAGAAATTGGGTGGGAAGGAGTTAGTTAATTTAATAAATATTTCCCTCTTAAGCTGTATCTTTTAAGTATATTCATAGCAAATATCACCTTGACATTTTTTGGTTAAATATTGGTGTCACATTTTTGCTATAGTCACTATTGCTGTAAATAAGCTTTCTTTAACTTGAAACAACTCAATTTTTTTCTGAGTGTTGGAATGATCTTTTTTGGCCAAATAACTAACTCTGTCATTGTAAAGATGCAAAAAAATTTGTTGCAATTTATGTTTATCATTTCATTGTTCAATTAGTTAGAAAACAATCATGTTCAATGTTTAATTTTGCACAAGTAATAAAGATGACCCTCTATTTATTAATATATATTCCTTTTAACCATGGAATGTGTCATTAGACAAGAAAAGGTAGGTCATATTTACCTGTATACCTGCACCACTTTCTGCAAAGACAAGGCCATCATTACTGTTTTGAGATAGAACAGAAGCAGGACTTGCAGAGTTACGCCCATAAGATGGTTCCTGACCCAACTTGCCGTCTCTGGTGGATTGAAGTTCATGATTAAGATGTTTATTATCAACAGCAAAAATTATTTAGTTAGACATTTAACTAATCTAATATGTGGTTAATCATTTTGAAAAATCAGCGTATCATAATGCACTTTCCATATAAGCAGTCTGCTCCTGAGACTGAATAAATTTTCTTGTTGAGTTTAGCCAACCAGTTGTTACAAGTGTTTTATCAATGAAGAAGCAAGATGGAAATATTTTATTAATTTTTTTTTAATGGTATTGTTTAAATTTATTTTTCTAAAATTTTTCTTAATTAATCTAGTTTTGTGTACTCTTTAACTGGTTAACTAAAACAAGCCACTGGGAGCCCAAAAGCGCTTCTTTAGTTATGGTCACAAGCTGCTAGCACGGACAATGTTTGAGTCGTAGTAAAGCTAGTAAAATATTTATAGTACTCTGTTCCCGTTTTGGTTTGAGATTTTAATTCACCGACAGGATGTTTATTTTCGAACCACATGCTATCAGCAGAAGGTTTAAAAAAAGGAGCCTAATTACAAAACTGTTTACCATGACAACAAGAGACAGAGTTACAAAAGGTATATGAGTAATTGGAAGTGTAAATATTATTAAATTTCTCTGTTCTTTGATGCATTTTTGTTATTATTGGATTTACTACACTCAAACCAGCAAATGACAGGCTTTAAATTTTTTGGAAATTCAAAAGTGACAAGTGAGTTGGCACATTTATATATTTTATTGTTTTACTGTTGTTAATAATTTAACAATTAATAATTTCCTGCTAAAAATTAAATTGACAATTTTTTTACTTTTTTTACATCTATCATATAGCAAATTCATTTATCTACAAAATGGTATATTACTCATTAGAATCTGTTTCTAATTAAGAAAACTGCAACTGAATTTGTACATACACCTACAAATGGGAAAATGCTACCTAAATTTAATTCGGCCACAGCCTGTTTTTCGATCTGGTATTTCATCAGTTAACCCACGAACTGTGGTCGGCCGAAAAAATCGGCCGACATTCTCGTTCGGCCGATATAAAAAACAGTCTGATAGCAACTTCCAATCCAATATTTATCCGGAATTATAGCCATTTCCTTTTATTAATAATTAAATCATCTTCCGGTTCAAGCTGTTTCGAGGTAACGTGAAAATAAATACTTTTTAATTTGAGTTTTATATCGATGTTTTTTTAAGGCTAAAATGGTTGAAGCCATGGCTGGGCCTTCAGTGCAAGAACTAATAGAAATATGTTTGAAAGCTTTTTAGAAGAGGTTTTAAGTGATACTGATTTTGATTTTAACATTCCTCATGATGATATCAGTTGAGATTCTTTTCGTGAATTTTATACTAGTCTTAGTGATATTGAAGTAGGCCTACTGAGGCTATTGTTAGACTTCGAGCCAGGCCCGGAGGTTGGGCAATGACAGACTGAATATTAGTCACAGAAGCTACAGATTATAGTTCAGAACTAATAAATTGTATAGTTAAACAACCCAAATCAGTTCCACAGTTCCTTCTTAAATGTTTACTAGTCAATAATAACTATTTTGCCTGAGATTTTGTATTTTGTACTTGGTTTTAGCAGTGGTCCTCAGTTTCTTATATAAATGACCTAAAATTACTAAAATTGCTTTCAGATGTTTAATTGCAATTAAAACCTTAGCAAACTATACATTTTCTGAAAGATAAATGAATTGGCTACAAAATTTAGATTTGTGTTTTAAGTGTATCAATAAAAATTAATGATGTTAAGAGCACCTGAGAAAGCAAGACATTTTGTTTTGAGAACTCCTAGGTCAAGGAAACAGAGCAAAATTTTTTTTACCGGGGTGGGCAACACAGCCAACTTTATCCCCATCCACTTACCCGTTTCTAAAAATATATATTTATTTGGTGTATTGTATCAATATTTCTATGCCATTTAATACAATTTCAAATGGCACTCAAAACACTCTGAAAAGCTCCACACCACAGAATAATGCATGCTACAGTTCGTAGTTAATAATAATAATTGCCGAGGTGGATGTTGTCTGCCCCACTCAAGAAAGAAAAGTCTCGAGTACAGTTTAACCCCTTTAAAATATTTTTTACGGCTGAACACAACAAATAAAGCTTTTGCAGTAAAAAATGACATACTTCAATTTTTTAAAACAATATTTTCTTACTTAGGTAGAGCCACCATCACAAGTCAGCACAGCGCAGTTGGTAATGAAAGTGTTTTTTTTTGGTGAGCTTTTGGTGCCTAAATGACATGCCACATTTTTATAGATTATTCACCTCTTCCCGTATTTTATTGCGTAGCACCAGCTAGTATAATTTCATCTAGTACAATAAACTACCTTTTAATACTGGCAACAGTTATTAGGGTGACGAAGAGGTTTATGTGAAACCAGACCCGTTTACCCTCTAACTCCTAAAATCCTAATTCAATATCATCACAAAATGGTTCAATACATTATCTTAATAGTAAAAAATAAACATAACAGTATATATAATGTATACACCTAAAAATCGTACATTGTACGCCAATTTTGTAAGAGTAAACAGGTCCGCTTCTAGAGTATCTACTGTTTGCAACTACTATATGAGGTTTAATGATTTACATGTGATATATTTATTTTTACTCAACCCTTTATTTTAAAATAATTTATGTCTTCGCTATTTAGAAGTGTAGGTGTTAGAATTTGGCAGCACAGTGAAACGAAAAGTTTAGAACCACTGGCATAGCCCAATAAAATATACAGTGGACTAAGTATTACTGTAATACCTATACTACTTAGTACAATCTGAGCATGTCTAGCAATTTTATTTTTGAAAATACATGGTGAAATTATGAAGATAATTCCTACAAAACATTGCATAATATTTTTACAGCATTCCAGGTATAAAATGCTATTTTTCGACTTTCAGGATAAATATAGTAAAATATTTGAATAACGTATGTATTTTCTGCCAAGTCGTCCCCCCCCCCCCCACATGCACGGGAATGCAAAATCTCAAAAATCGACACACACCTCTTCCCCTCGCAGTGTCTATGTACTATATTGTCACTACAGAGACTACGCTAATTTAACTATAGCAGTGTCTAGTGAATTCATTATGAAAACACAAAGCACCAATATGACCATCACCACTATCATTAAGAAAATGTGGTTGTGTTAATTTTATAGAATTTAATATTTAGACCCCCAACTGCACACAAATTAATACCACTCCATTCCCCTCTCAGAACAAAGGTATTATAGTTATAGATGGTCCTCAACCAATCATATTGCTTGATCCATTCTACTGGGTGTAGAATGCAAAAGCAAGTGATAATCTAATAACAGAAATGGAATTTTAATTTTAAATAAAGGAATGTTTACATTTTCCACACAGTCTCTTAAAATCGTAGTTCTGTTAGGTCTTTGCCTACAATCGTAAAAGACATCTCAGAATTGTACATTATATGCCATACAGAACATAATATCACAACTTAGTGATTAACCTACCCATAAATAGAGACATTTTGACTCTGACTTTCAGGCGCAACAGGCATACAGAGATACTCCGATCTTAAACAATTTTCTGCGGTTGGTCTTAGAACAGGATTAGGGTGCATAACTTTCATGAGAAAAATGCCCAGATGTCGATCCTAATGGATGGAAGTAAGCAGGTATTTTTACAGTGTAAACATTTTAAACATTTCAAATGGATTTCAATTATACAATGAAGTATGCAATCAAAACAATCTTAAGAAATAATAGGAACATTTTTTTTTATATTGTACCAGTGGCAAAGATGAAAAATCCACTGTTCCATCTCTGGTTTCTGAAAATGAAATGTTTGGATGGTGCATCTGAAAAAATAAATTTATAACATGAGAAATGTACTCGAAAACAAAAAATTTAATCTTACAGTATTTTACGCAATTAGAAAATAACCTTGTCTCTCTTTAACAGTGTCACTAACATGACATTATAAGATAGTATGTTAACATACTTCATTAACAAATAAATCTTTATTATTCTAATTTTAGTTTTTGATATAATAAAAAAAATATTATTGCACTCCTCTTAACACACATTTCTATTTGAAAACCAATATTGTCTAGCTAGTTGATAATGGAGAATTAAACAGTAACAGTGCTAAAAGTAAAACTGCTAACCCACAAGGCAAGCAGGCCAAGACAGAAAACATCCAGGGAATGAGAAGGTTCAGATGACATCTTGTTCTGCTTCATCTCAGGTGCTGTTATCTCAACCCCACTACTTGTTGTGTATCTGCTTCTACACCTGTCAGCCTGCCAGTCATAAAAGATGAATAGCACTGAATGCATGTGATGATAGCGCCCAGTTTTTGTTATAATTTCATCTAATTTATTTTTAGTCCCTGGTGTGATCACAAGAATCTATTTTTGTCCAAAAAAAACCAACAGTTTTGCAGTTTATATTTTAAATAGATTATTAAAAACTAATTTGCTAAAGATAATGCATAAAGTATAACTGTTTTTCTGAGAAATGTACAGAAAGTTCTTTCAAGCAAATTATAGATGAAACAGTACAAAAGTTGATTTATGTAAACATAACCAACCCTAGAATAGTATTGTAACTCACATCAGTCATAGAAAAGTCAGGTGGCAACAGCCTTGCAGTACCATCATCGTCAACTACTACATACTCAGGCTGTATCTGTCCATGGACGAAATTGAAGAGATGCAAACCCTGCAGAGCTATGCACAAACTCTTCACAATTGACTGACATTGCTGCAAGCAGAAAAGAAAATTCCTTTAAAATTTTTAAAAATAAAAACGGGCACATGCCATGTTTTATTCAACTTTGATTTACTATTTAAGGAGAAGATATTCATTAAATTTGAAATGTAATACATTAACTACTAAGAGTTTTAAACTTTAAGCGCAAAGAAAATCAAGAATAAAAAATACTTTTAATGGGCATATGCATTTTATATTTTAAATTTAAACTTTAATTTTTATTTAAATTTCTTTCCACCTGTTTTGTCAAAGGTGCTGCTTCTACCATGGTAGATAGAAGTTGTCCTCTTTTCTTGACTTCCACATAAGCATGACGATTATCCTAAGTAAAATATTGGGAACAAATTTTTTTTTTTCCAGAATTTTAACTTAAAATCAGTACAAATCTGTATTCTTTATAAAATTGAATCTATAATGACATTTTACACCAGTCTGTAACTGACATATAGAAGCTCTTTACACTGTTTACAATGTGCCACTTATGAAGGCTTTCATACAATAAATTTGCTGTTTTGTTTTGTATCAAGCTTGATGATACTATTTTTCCATCTAATTAATGCAGTGAAATTTATTTAATCTTGCGTGAAATATTTAGCATAATTCTTTTAAAAAAATCATTTTAATAAGAAAATTCTTTATTAAAATAAACTTGATGTAATGTCAACACATTTTTCCTTACCAAAAGAACTTGATTGACTGTGTAGGGTATGGTCATAGATGGAGCTTCAGATTCAGCTCAGTATGTATAGATAACATAAGGTCTGCACATTCCCAAAATATGAACAAAGCTCCCTTTTTTTATTATTAAAGTAGGCATGATTAATGATTTTCTTTAGCATTAAATTATTTGATGCTTTTCTAAATTTTAAATTGCTTATATCACTTTGAACAAATTTCAAACCTTGTCAAAAAAAACCGTTAAAACAGGCTCTAGATACAGAGAAGAGGCATTGGAGTACAATGCCATCTGCGAAAGAAATTCCTCTCTGTTTAATTTGCTGGCACTTCCTAAGAAATATTCCTGAAATAAAGAAATTATACATTTCTAAATTTTGGCCAAAAAAAAACACCCGCAAGAGAAAATAGAAATAAATGCAAAAATTTTATCTTTACCATTTGCTAATTATTATTTCTGCTTTTATTTGATAATATATGAAAAGCTCATTAATTAAAATAAAGAGTTCATAATTTACTTTTGTAATTAATTTTTTTATTCAAAGGAAAGAAGCATTTATCTTTACCTTAATGAACACAGGTTCATTATCCAGCTGCGAAACAAACATTCCACTTAGATTGCTGCCAACAGGTGTCATTGTATACTGGTCTGGGGCATGAGAAAGCTTGACTAGGCCTTTGTAAGTCTAACAGTAGAGTAAAATAATTAACAATTGTTAAAAAACTAATGTTAAGCATCACCCATAATAAAAACACACGTGTATGTAACACAAAAAATATATAATTAGCTTGAATATATCACTGTAGTGAACATTTCACTGTAGTGAACATGCATGTTCGCAGGAATAATGACTTAATCATTTTAAATGTCCCCCCGTGGTTCCAAATAATGATTGCATTTTAACAAATCTATTAAAGACTATGATGGAAAAAAATCTTGACTTACTATATATGTGGCAAAACCTGTGTCAGACTCTCCATTGATCAACTCCGGAAAATGTGCACTGGCTAACTCACTTAGATCAGCCTAAACATGAATATTGAAAAATATGATCAAATTATAAACACACAAGCCACCCCATAGATATGTTTTCAAAATTTTAAAGCACATTAAAAAATTATTTTTTTTAAATGTCAACATATATAAATATTAAGTACTTACCAGCAGCTTGTCTTCTTCTTTAAGGGCCTTGTGGATGTTATTTCTAATATTCTCCAGATCTTTAGCTATTTCTTCTAGCTCTTGGGAGTCTTGATTCTGGAACAAATAAATCTTTTACAATGAATTTATTATTTCTTTATGTTAACAATATTACCAGATAAATATACTATATTCAAGACAACTAAAAAAAGCACAACATAAAGAGTTTTAATATATATGTTCTTCAATTTTTGTTCCCCACACCACAAGTATCACTGGCTTCTTTCTTATTTGATCATGAAATCATACACATATTTCAAAGGAATTTAAGTCATTATATTACCTCTTCAGCATCCACCTTGTCAGCAAGCTTATGTCTTAATTTGGATTTCATATTTTTTAGTTTGGATCTTACAATCTGCAGCTCATTAGTAGAAGGGGTAGAGTTCAGCCATGGAGCAATTTGGTCTTTCAAAGAAGTGAACTCATGTAATACATTGGATAGATGGTCTACACAGCTAGATTCTTCCCTCAAATCATTCAGAAGGGCTTGGACTAAAGTGGCAATAAATATAGCATCTGGACTGTTTTCCTGTTTTAGAAGTAGACAAAATATGATTATACTGAATAAATATAAATACCTTAAAAAAATTACATGTTAAAAATTATAAGACTTCCATTGGAAATTATTACTGTTTTATTTTTTTAAATGTAGAATACAAAGAAATAAGCCCAAGGTTTACCATTTACATAATGCAGATTAAAACTTTAAAAGTTAGAGAAAATTTATGATTATATGCTAATGGAAAAGGAATTCATCTAATTAACATCCAAGTATGATCTAATTGTGACTAAACCAGATTGAACTAAAGGAAATACTTAAGTATACAAATCAACAACAGCTATTTTGGTAAAAGACTTCAGAATGTAAACTCACAGTATCAGCAACAGAAATTTCCTGATGTAACGCCTTCGCATACAGTTTCAATGTACTGTCAAGGTCATCTGTCATTTCTTCATCTTCCAGCTCAAGATTAAGGGAAATGGACTACAGATAGAGGCAGTAACAATAATGGTAGAAAATTTAAATTAAGTAGATAAAATTTATGGGTTTATTATTTAAAATAAAATCTTAATCATAAAATTTAAAGAGCAAAAGACGGCCTTTAATTTAACTGATTAACTTTATTAAATAAAACTCACACTTTTTAACTTTTCTAAAACACCATTTACTGAAGATTCCATAGTGTCACTGTAACGTCGGGCACCAACAATATCCCCCTTTTTTTTCCCCTGAGTTAATTTGAAGAAAGAAAAAAAACATTTTAAAAATGTAACAACTAATTTTTTATAATTAGTTTATGTGCTCATGTTTACAACTCTATCTTCACTTTCTTTATTAAAAACATTGTTTTTATTTGTAAACAGATAAAATTACATTAGCATTAATGTGACATAGTTTGTTAGAACTGGAGAACTGATGTATATACTAGATGTTCAAGTTAGATAATTTGTTAGAACTGGATAACTGATGTGTATACTAGATGTTCAAGTTAGGATTTATGATAACAAATATTTTCACTAAAAAAACCAAAAACATGAGATTGATGACATTTGGCAGAAACAAATATGCCTGCATCTCCTAATGCAGATTACTATAAGTGTCAAAAACGTTTCCCAAAACTTATAGCAGAATGTTGTTAAAAAATAGACAATACCTTCCATTCCTCAAACGACGGAAGTAAACTTTCAATTAATGGCAACTGGGGCACTGTAAACTTTGTGAAGGAGTCATAATGCTTGGTGAGTGCTGACACAATGTCCTATTGGTTGGGTTGGAAATTTTAAGTGGAACTTTAAGAACTGTCATAACTTTTCTTGAATTTTATATACAAAAAAAGTTCCCAATGTTATCAAAATGGGTAAGTGGTAAAGTTAGTTAAGTTTAATCAAAATAAATAATGTAATGTAATACTTGATGTTTATAATTTAAAGCTACTTAACAAAATGAGACAAAATCTTTGATGAATTGAATTCATTAAGTTATTGAACTGCCTTTGGCAATATTAATTGAAAAATAATTATATTTTATTATTACAATTTTTAGCAACAGATTTTCTTGATGTGCAAATAATTTTTTAAAACTTTACCAAGTCAGATTTTAGTTCAGATTACCTGCACCTGTTTACCCCTGTCTTGTAAGGGTACTTTATTGAGTTCCTCTATAGCAACAGCAAGCCTGTCAAAGAGTTCCTTCTTTTGTAAGTCTCTTGCTTCTGTCTTTTCTTTAAGGATTGCCTGAAGAAGTAAGATAATTACAGATTAAGATTAATTATTAAAACTCATATAATAATTGCATCTAAACACATTTAAGTAGAAATTTTACATAAAAATAAAACTTATTTAAATTATGATAAAATGAGTATTTTTTACAATAGTTTCTTTGCATACAAACAAAATAAAGTTCAATTTTGTTTAAGGGGAAGATAAACACTAAGATCCAACAATAAATGTTTATAAAGTTTTGTACTTCTATCTGCATCTATTATAAGACAAAAATTATTGTAACTGCACACAAGCATAAATATATCAAATATTGTTAAAATATTCAAATGGGTTTCTTAATGAAAGTAACTATAATATTAACAATATTTTTAATAGAATTAAGTTTACAAAAACACAGATTAAATTAAAATAAACTAAGTATTAAATGCTTACACTATCTGAGCACTTCCGTATTTCATCTTGTGCACTTTTGTAGGCACTTATAGACTTGCAAACCTCAGGTATAGACTGGGCCATATGAATACCAATTTTACCAGGACCTTGTACTAAAACTAAAGCTGTGTCTAAAGGTGTCTCTTTATCAAGGGGGAATTGATTCCTAGAATTGAAGAAATAAATACTGTATTTATTGGCATATAACACGCCCCCACGTATAACACGCACCTCAATTTAAGAAGGAAATTTCAGGAAAAAAAACTATTCATTATATTGGCGTATAACACGCACACATGATTTGCCCCCTATTTTTGGGGAGAAAAAGTTCATGTTATATGCCAATAAATACGGTTAATTAACTACACTTGCGAATTGTACAGTTAAATGAATGGTGGGGGAGATAAGGGTGTGGTACTCATTGAAGTCTACTTTTAATTATTAAGTTTTCTTAAAACTGCAGTTACAAGTGAGTTAGTCTTTCATAAAAAAATTCTAATGATGTGAAAAGCTAGAATCATAAAATTCTTACCATACACTGTGGTAATTAAGGTTAACTAAAGAAAACAAAAGTTATATTGTCTACAAGTCATTAATCTTAAATGAAGGCTTTTTGCAATTAATGGCTATGGACAAAGCTTAGAGGCCAAGAACGGCTCAATATTTATGAAGTTAGGTCAATTTTGTTTAATACACTAAACATTTTCTATAAAATATTAAACTCACCGAAGCTTTCTTACCATACTAGATAGAGCTTGGAGATTCTTGATCTATAAAATTTAAATGAGAATAGAAATAATGCATGAACATAGTTAAAAGAGAAAAAATCCTACCGTTACCCTAAATCTAGATTCATTTTTTATCTTTAGCAATTAAATATGTTGAATAATTATTTAAAATTAAAATTTGGAGCTTTCTCAGAGTATTTAAATTCATTTTTCGCAACAGTTTACCTGTGATGACATGTCATTTTCTTGTGCTTTATTTGACAAACTTGTGTATTCAGTCTGAAGGTTCTGTGTTGTAAAAGATTGAAGGTATTATATGATAAGAAAGAAAAATGCTAAGTGTTAAATTATTAAACATTTTATAGTTATTTAATTTTTTAAAATCTGAATGGAGAATTCATGTATTCATTTAACTTAACCTCATAGATAGTAAAATTGTTAAACTTTACTTAGGAGCGAACAAAGAAAACTTTAGATATTTCCTTCCTTGTGTTATAGTGGGCAATACAGTCCCACAAATAAAACAGGAACTATACTTGAAGGAAAAGAATTTTATATTTGAAGTGGACACAGGAGCTGGGGAAAATTATCTGGCAGAGACTTTATGAAAAAAGCTTCGAGTCCAGTATTCATTTAGTATTGATACGCTTGACGTGACCAACTTAATATTCTAGGAAGTATAGAAATAAAAACTGATACAAGTGAATCATCTTCAACCAAGTCATTTGTAGTTGTGAAAGATCACAAATTAAACTTGCTGGGCAGAACCGCCAAAAAAAATCTTAACATTTGAATAGAAAGTCTTTTTCAGAAACAGGTGTATCATATGAGCAATCAAAACTCGTGGAATAAATCTTGTGAGCAAATCTGCAGGGAATTCCCTAAACTATTTAAACCTGGTCTTGGACTATTAATAGACTTTGAGTTAGATATTAAGTTCAAGCCAAATGCACATCCAATTTATATGAAACCCACAAATGTTCCATTTGCAATTAAGGCAGAGCTAACAGAAGCTTATGGAGCTGGAATATCCCAGGGAATCTGGAAACCAGTACAGTTTAATCAGTGGGCCACTCCCACAGTTCCTGTAGAAAGAAATCTATAGCAGGGAATAAGTCGCGAATTAGGTTCTGTGGTGACAATGCAAAAACTGTAAATCTGCAGTTAGAAAAACCATGGTACTGAATGCCATTACCAGAAGACCTTATAACAAAGTTGGCAGGTAGACATTATTAGCTTTCAAAAGAAACACAAGAGAAATTAGTCTTAAACACGAATCAAGGGGGATTTTGCTAGACACATTAGGGATTACATCAGCACCAGCTTATTTCCAGGAGACAATGGACAAACTTACACAAGATTTACCTGGAGTAGCTGTGTACATGGATGACATTCTATTGAGCCAAAAGAATGAGGAAGACCATGTAAGCAACCTTCACAAGCAATTGCACAGGTTGAATGGCTTTAACCCTTTACCGGGCAGACAAAATTGTCCTAAGTACTCAACGGGGAAAACGCCCAAAAGCTTCCGTGACGACATATAGTTGTAAAATCGTGACCTCCGAGTCTTTGCGAGACTTCCTAATTGTTTACATCCGGTTTTTCCGATAGCTGGATAGAGTGGGCGCCAGTTACAAGTATTTAATCGATTTCTTTTGTAGTTTTAGGGGTTTAAGAATTTTTTTTTTCGAAATGGATTTTGCCGATTATTTGCCTATTACTCAAGTGATAGCGGAGATTTCGGTGGATTCAATTGAAGTGACATTAAAGTGCACGAATTGACTGTAAATTGGAACAAGATATTAATATTATTAGTAATATTAGTGAAATCAGCATAGTAAGCAGAGTTGAATTTTACGAACTTTGATTTTGTGGCAGTGTTTGTAAATAGTAAATAGATTGACTCACAATCACAAACAATATGTTGTTTTTTGCAAATATTTGTGTTCATATGAGGATTAATGGGAACATGTGAGTAAAATTATAAAACTGCATTCATTTTCCTTAATTTTGCTTTTTATTTCACTAAAATTTGTTGACCAACACCTTTGATTTGATTTTTTTTACTAACGTCACCCAAAATCTAACTAAAAACCGGAGAAGTGGTGCCCGTTCTGGAGATGCAAGATGAAGTACCTCTGCCCCGTAAAGGGTTAAGTGCTGGTTGGAAAAATGCATTTTTGCCCAACAATCAATCCAATATTTAGGGAATATCAAAAGGGGCAAAAGTAGATAAAGTAATAACCATGCAGGCAAGATATTTCCAGACATCTCTTTTCCAAGTGCAGTTTTACAAGTTCTTACCAGACAAGTCTACCGTACTTGAGCCACTGTATTATTTAACTAAATAGAACATATCATGGAATTTGAAAACAGAACAAGAAGAAGCTTTCAGAAATCTCAAACTGCTTTTTGATACAGTTTTGGCTCGCTGTGATCCAACTCTAGGCACAGGCTGTGACACCTCAAATTTTGGCATAGGAAGTGATCTTTTCTACCAAATCCTGACGACAATGGACGCCCTATTGCTAACATTTCAAAAACTCTCACACTGGCAAAATGCAAATAAAGCCAGATACAGAAAGAAGAACTGTAAATTATTTTTGCATAATTAATGTTCCATCAACCTCTGTATGGAAGAAAATTTGTTTTCCTTACTGACCATAAATCACTGATAAGCATCTTTGGTGTAGAAAAAGGAACACCAGCAGGTGTTTAGCCAGGTGGGGTCTGACCTAGAGTCAATATGACTATATCACTGAATTCTAAAAGTCAATTGATAATGGTGGCCAGATGCACTTAGTCGTCCACCCTCAGGACCTGATGACATTTTCGGTGGTGAAGAAAGTGAAGCGGACATGGATTCTGAATGTTTGATCAAACAAGTTAGCTTGCAGATCAGACCAACAGACCCAGAGTCCTTGCAAAAGAGTCAATTAAAGACCTAAAGTAATGATATGTTGTCAAAAGAGGGCTGGCCGTCCTCTACAAACAAAGCATACATGAACGCTGATGCAGCAAATATATCAGCTTTTAAAAATATTCAAGACTCGCTCTCAGCAGTCGAAATGTCTCCTAAAATACTAGAAGCTCAAGTTCTCCAAATCCTGCATACAAAATATTTTGGAATCAAGTGTATGAAACAGTTAGCAGATCATCAGTATAATAATAATAATAAAGTTTATTTGAAAATCACGCTTCATCCCCAAAGGTTCGAAGCGCTGTACAAAGTCAACCATATTAAAAGAGAAACAAAAAAATCTATATCATACCACATGAAATACAAAACGCAAAATTACAAAAACTGCATACGAGAATACCCATTCTAAGTCTTTCATCCCTTGCAACCATAAACAACAAAGGCCAATATACATCTAGGAGATAATAGCTAGCTGGAAAAGATGGTAGACAACATCACACAAGTAGGTGTTTGCGAAATAGATGTGTTTTCAAATCGGTTTTGAAAGACTCCAGTGTCTGGCTGTTTCTGAGAGCGAAAGGAAGTATGTTCCAAATTGTTGGGCCAGAAAATGCGAAAGTAGCAGACCTGTTTACCCCCAAACTCCTAAAATCGTACAATGTCATCTCAAAATCGTACAATGCAGTATTTTGATTGTAAATAATTAAAAAAATACAGTATATTTAATGTATACAATAACTCCTCCTATAGTTCTCCACTGTTCAGTGGAATCGAGTTACGCTGGCGTCAAAATATGGAACTGTAGGTAAACAGTAGATGACTGACGTTAGCTGTTAACTGCGGTCACTTTGTTTTGCAGACATGTATCTGCTAATACATATCAATTACTATTTGGGTTAACGTGCTGATCACATTATCCCAGTCTGTCGCAGGTCAAAATAAAATCACTGGTGAAAGTTCAAACCTGACTTCAGATAAGCATAAAATAAAATGTATTAAAATAAGAATGAATTACCCGGTAACAAATTGGGACCCCCCCACCCACTTTTTTGNGGTATTTTACAGCATTCGAGATAGAAATGTGCTATTTTAGGACTTTCAGGATGAATATTGTAGTATTTTTAAATACTGCATGTACTTTCTGCCGAGGAACATCCCCCCCCCCCCAACTGACATTAGGAAAATGTGGATGCGGTGTTGAATGTATAGATTTAAATATTCAGAACCGCGCCATACACACTATCTCCTAAATCCACACCACTCATTTTGTCTCTGATTGCTACTGAAAAGTCCGACTTGCAGAATGTGCAGCGCGCGTATGATGGACCCTTCTATGAAGACCTCAATACAGTAGATTGTGTCATATCCAAGAAAGAATATAAACTTTCTTTATCTTTTGTTGAAACTGATGTTTATCGGCAGAAGTAGACGTTTCTTCTTCATCATCGGTTTCGCGTGCCTTTCTTTGTGTCGAGGCCATATCGTAAAATACTCACTCATTACTGGGAAAAAAAATTGAGCTGTCGTCTGATTTTTTTCCCTTTAAAAAAAGGGGTGGGATAGGGGGGGGGGGGGGGGGGCGAAGTATTAGTAGTGATACCAAACTGTCGTATTACGATCGCTGAGGTAAAGAGCTGCTTTGCTAGTTCTACACATATTTTTTTTTTACATGCCGCTGGCAAGCTCTTATAAAATATGTCCACATCCAACGTTCCAGTGCAGAACAGTGTGATCATGTATTTTATTGTAAAAACCGTATCGTCTCTAGTTTTCTCCGTTTTCACAATTGCTGCGGTTCAAGCAGTGGCGTAGCGAGGGTGTTTGGTGCCCGGGGACAAGATTCGCGCCCGGGGACAAGATCCATTTTAAAGCGCCCCCTTTTCTTTTTTTCAACTGTAAAACCCATTATTTTTACCAATAATATATCAAATCACATTTTGGCACCCCTAACTAGCTTGCACCCGGGGACATCCCGGGGACATCTGTCCCCCGCCCCCCCCCCATCGCTACGCCTCTGGGTTCAAGGGAACAAAACTACGTCACACGCTTGGTGGCAGTCAAAGGGGATGGCAGTGAATAGTATAAATATTACCGGTGACGCAGCTAACTAGTTCAGTGTGACACACAAAGCAACACTATGACAATCATCGCCATCAATACGATACGTTGCGGTGATATTTTTATAACCTTTGGCACTCCACCCATGCCGCAAATCTCCTTCATTAACAGCCCCTCACCTCCCCTCTCAGTGCGCACATAATATAATGAAGGATGGTCCCAACTTTAAAAAAAATTACAACCAATCGTTTTTCTCTTTCCATTCACCAGTAGATTTTTATTGGAAAAGGCTAAAACTTCAACAAACGAATTTTAATCGGAATTTTTTTTTTTTTTCACCGGCTCTCTGAAAATCGTAGTTTTGGCGGGTCTCGGCATACAATCGTAAAAGACATCTCAAAATCGTACATTGTACGCCAAAATCGTGAGAGTAAACAGGTCTGAAGTAGCCTTCCGTAAGTCTCAAGGCGAACACATGGTATCGAGAGTTTGCCACTATCGCATGAGCGGAGTCGTCTAGTGGGTACATAAGTCGTCATGAGCGCTTTGAGATGGGATGGTTCCAGGTCATGCAAGAAGCGGTAGCACAGAGTTGCAATTTCGTACTCTATGCGAGCGCGAACTGGCAGCCAATGCAACTCTCAGTAAACGGACCATGGCTTTATGCTAAAATCATGGAGAATCAGGGACAAAATCGTAAAGACATAGCTGCCCACATGCTACGATGGGCTCCTGGTACAATCTTCAAGGTTATGCGTGTTATACAAGAATAAATGGAACAACAATAGACTAAGCGACGATGGGCTCCTGGTACAATCATCAAAGTTATGAGTCCACGCCTTTATAAGGTAAAGCTTTACCTGATTGGAAGAATATGGAAGAAGCATTTAGACCAACTTTGCCCAGGTATGGAGCAGAAGAAGATTTAGAACCGGGTTGGGATATAATGACAGAAAATCATTACCCAACGACTCAGACAGCATCGAGTCATTAACCATCAATACATTCAGCAACTCCAAGTCCACCTAAGAAGAAGCCCATCCCTCGACAGCCAAGAGCCTCAGACAATAAAAATTATTTATATACTGTTCATAAGTTATTACCATATTGTTTTAAATAAAATGTAACACATTGTCTTTTATAGTAGTAATATTAAGATTTTTAAAAAGAAAGAGCAACTGATGAAGAACAGAAATCTCTTGAGTTTACAGCAAAGTATTAAAAAAATAAATATGTCTTAATCATAGATAAATATTGTTAAATTAGACCAACAAAAAAAAAAGAATCCAAATATAGCAGCAGAAATTTTGAGTTTCTTGATCATTTAAAAATATGATACCAAAAATACTTCAATTGCCTTCAAATATAGATCATAATTATATTTTACATACCTTCAACTTCCATCGCAAATTAGATATTTCATCTTTCTCTGAGTCAAATTTTCGTGGGCCATCTCTTAGATTAGGAAAGGCAACTTTCACACTAAATCACAACAAAAAAGTTGGCAACATGATAAAAAGAACATTTTTATGTCTTTAATGTTATACAAGCATTTTAGCTTTTTTTTTTTTTTTTTTGCTTTACAAGAATTTAATTTTTTAATTAAATAATAAGACATAAAATTTTTTTTTAATTAGTTTTTATGGCATTTATTTAATTTTTTTTATTTTTTTTTTTTTTATTTTTTTAATTTTTTTTTTTTTTTTTTTTTTTTTTTTTTTGCTATACAAGAATTTAATATTTTAATGAAATACCAAGACATACAATTTTTCTTTACATAGATTTTCAGGCATTTATTTAATATTTTTTGGGCCTACAAGGTTTTAAAAAAATTATTTTAATCTAAATTAGCTGTCGTCTATTAAGAAAATTGTTATTGCTATAATTGTAGTTTATTGATTTATATCATAAACTGGTAAGCACTAACAAATGCATGCAAAAAGAAACTTTATGGTATGTTTAACCTGAAATGTTAGCAAAATTGTTTGAAATGTGTAAAAATATCATTATTATAAGTACATCTCTTAAAAATGTGATGTGATAAAGAGTTAATTTTCAAATAGAACCAATGCTTCCAGGACAATAACTCCCAAAACCTTAGTGAGAAAAATTCATCCTCACTTTCCTGTATAAAAAATGTGTAAGTTAAGTTAATGGGCTATTTATTTTTGACACAATAAAATATTGAGTCAGGTTCTAAATGATCCTAAAACTGCATTACTTTTTACTTGACTCTTCTTCCTAAACATTAAGTCTTTAAATGTCATGGTCTTTAGAAGGTGGGAGGAGCTATTATCCTGTCAGTATAAAGTTATTTTAATTATCATACTGAATGCAACTGAAATTTTAACTTAAATAAAACTTCCACAACAAATAAACAGCAACGTTAGGCAAAATGTTCACCTATTATGTTTAGTCTGATTCTTTGCTGCACTATGAAACTTCTTGAATTCTTCAAGAGGTTTCATTGATGAATTTCTTTCATTTAGGTCTCTGATCATATTGATGCAGTTTAGATTTTGCATTAAGTTTTTGTTTTGCATATTATTTAAAATGAGCTGTTGTGCTAGCAGTTTCTTAGACCATAAAATTAACTACTTCTTTCCATTAAAATTTAAGTTAAACCAATAACTTTTTATAGGGTATTTAAACCAGGTTATTTTTGAAAGAGGAAAATGATTCACAATAAATTGCTGTCTCAATAAATAAATCTTTACAATTAATGAAAAATTGGTTAATCCAACCAGCATAATTTACCTTTAAAATTATTCTTTCTAAATTTGTTTAACCTATCAACCCTTTTAAAATATAGATATTTTATTACAGCACTCACTTATTGGTAGCACCTGCATCTCCAGAAGCCCCCAGTGGTCGCGATTTTAAACCTCTTTGTTCCAATCCTGGCTTTTTAAATGCAAAACCGCTCTCCAACATTTTTTCATTGATACTAACACCGGCAATAAAAATTTCAGCAAAGAAGCCTGTATGATCTGACAGTCTGGCAGTTGTAAATACATCAGCCTCCTTTCCCTCAACAATCTCTCGTAAGAACTTTAATGCCTGGGAAAATTAGAATTAAATATTTAAGATAATCTATTGTCAGTATTCTCCAAAAAATTTACTACATTAATTCTAACTCTTAACATGACTGACAGAAAAATCACTAAATATATTAATACATACATTGGCATCTTGATTGTTATTACACCATAGAGAATGAAGCATATATTTGATTGCACATGGCGGCAGGGCTGTTAAGGATTTTGGAAGCTCTACCAACGTGGATGGATCTAATTCTTCTGTATTGCCGAAGTCTATGTACTGGACTTTTACCTGTGGATATTAAAGGAACAGTTATTCATTCAAATGGAATCATCCCAATAGCTGCTAGTTGGAGCTAAATTTTGTATTGTTTAGAAGTTCTTCCCTCATCAGATGCCTTTTAATCCTTCAAAACATACTAAAATTAATAATACAGAAAAACAAATTCCATTAAAATAATAAAACATTATTTCACAACCATACAAAATATTTTGTTGCATACAATTGTTTGTAAATTTTGAAGCCTAAAGCAACAGTACTTGGGCAACAAGAATTGAAAAATTTTCTTTGGCAATATGAGTGATAATATAAATGATATGTACAAAGTATCTAATGATTTACAATGTGTTTTGTAAAAGAAATAAATCATTACATAACTCCAACCAGTTAGAAACAAACAAAAATATTTCACAGACAATTTATAGGATTTGTTTCTTTGATACCATACAATAAAATAAAATGATTTATGATTGATATAACATAAATCATTTAAATTATAGCAGTATCATTTTTTATATAATATTTTCTTTCAAAGTATTTATAGGTATACTTTGCTCCTTTTCGCTGTGCAGAAATTAAATGCTGTTTGCCAATTATGAAGCTATAAGGAATGAATCCATTAGCAACGAGAATTGGCATTTACTTTTAGCAATAAGTGAAAAGTCCAAAGCAATGATGCTTAAGTCTTTAAAAAGTCTTAGTGCTTTCTAATATTTATGTAGTAATATTATGGTCAGCAAAGTTTTGGAATTCGTTAAAGAAACAATGTAAATTCATTTTATTCAATAAAATGTCATTATATCCTTAATGAGGATTTAAAAAAATCATGATTAAAGGTTGGACTTTACTTGTGGGTCAGACAATAGGAACTATATGTTTTTGTTGTTTTTTTTAAGTGCATATTTTTTAGTTACCTATATTATTTATAAGTCCCAGCTATGTGCATTATTTTTTTTTTAAATTTACAATTTAATTGTACTTTTTACAAACCTTAAATAATTACTGAAACTGAAAACAAATATTCTTTGAATGTGATATTGATTGCTGATTATTTTTCAGAATCATACATGCTGAAATGGTAATATTAAATAACCATTAACAGTTCCAATACATCATGAGCAAAATCTGTTAATTATGAAACTATTAGATATAATGTTCCATAGCAATGAGAAAGAAATTGTATTGTTTGAAAGACATTTTAAATATTGACTAGGTATAAGCTTTCATTAAAACACCACTTTAATCTTTTATAGAAGTGGAGTGATGATTTAATATTTATTTATTTAAGCCCCTTAAATAAACCATATACATTACCCCAAACTTTTAACATTTCTGCACTATTTTACCCACAATATAATTATATTTAAAGATAGTTGTACCAAACTTTCAGGAAACATTCAAAACTAATGAACAACAAAACTTTTACATTACATTAAAACTTAGTATTTTGGTTAATTTTATTTGAAGGTATGTTAAAAAAATCATGACAGAAATATTATTATATGTATTTTTAAAAAATCACTAAAAAAAAACATGTTTATTGTATTTCAATTAAATATCTGATCAATTTAAATTTTAAATCCATTTATATATTTATAAATTGTAATTAGAAGCTTTTTTCAAAATATAGTGAATGCATGAAATTAAAAATAAAAACTCCAAAAAAAAATCCCCAATAAGACAAGACTTATGTGAGCATACCTGTTCAACTATGCGATTAAAGTTTAAAAGGCTATGGCAATGATCTGTCTATCATGTTCTATGTAGACTGCTCTAAAGACTTCTTGGTAGTGTTGATGAATCCCACAATCTCTCCTCCACAAACTTTATATTTGATATCTACATTCCAATGAGCTGCCTCATTGAAGGAATTTCTTCAGCATAAAATTTAAATTTTCTCTTGTATCTGAATGTAGCCTAGATATACCATCTTGTCATTATCCCAAATCTACCCAATTTCTAGTTTCTTTTTAATATTGTTCAAGTTTTGTTTTGATTAAAACTAATTTCTTTTATTAAAACGTTATTAGAAACATTAAATAATTGTCTTAGTTTATGTAAACTGTTTTTCTATTCCTTATAAAAATTTAAGTACTATGATGATGTTGAGTCCTAACTATTTTTTTTATGTCTTTTAATAAAAATTGTATAGTATAACTTAATATTATAACTTTAGTATCTGTAATTTTAAGTAGCTCATAGACTGTTTTGTCAATAACTTTCCAAATATTTTGATCATAAGTATATAACATAGTATTTTATTTAGCCAAGGGTCTAAATAATACTAAATAGCACTTGACACTAAGACTAAGGGTCAAGACACAGTAAGTAGGCTCAGTTTAAGAATATTACATTAAATTAACAATTATTCAAAATGTATAATTACATTCCTTATTAAATTACAAAAATACTAATTTAAAATAGACCTGTAAGTGCAGTTTATTTGTTAGAATAGGAGTATTACTTTATTAGGCTTAGTAGCAGCTTATGCCCATAAAATAAAATAAGGTCATAGTGTTATGGTTAAATTGTAGGCCTAATAACAGTAGGGAAGAAGCAAACTAATTTTTTAAAATTAAGTATTGATTTCTGTACTCTAAAATAACATTTTAAATTTACTTACTTTTATTAAGATATTTAAAGATTACAGACTATTAAGTGTATGATTTAGAGGCAATTCTGTTTTTGGGGAAGTTAAAAAAAATGGCATAATTTTTTCCATCTAGTGATGACAAGCTGAAAGTGCTAACGATAAAGGGAAACTTGACTATTGCAAAGTTATAGCCTATCCAATTTAGATGATAAACAGCTTTCTATAGGTTTAAATTTGTTGCGATTTCTAAAAAAATGAGTGCTTAAATAACACATTTAAGAATTATTTCATTAGAATGTTTTCAATGGGGGTTTATTTAAATCTTAAAATAAAATATGTTTGTGAGACAAAAAGCCATTTTTAAGTTATCTAGAAATAATCTTTTTATAAACTGGAGATAGAGATTAAGTCCTGAAATTACTAATGCAATCATTAATTTGAAATAAATAACTACCGATTTAAACAGAAAGCAAGTTAGATCAGGCAGTTAGTATGTTAGTACCAGCAGCTTAAAGACTTATGACCAGACAAAATCTAATTGTGTCCATTAAGAAATATGGAAAAACAATTTTAGAAATATGTAAGACAGTTATGAAGCCAAAAGAAATTGGTCTAGCAGCAACGAGAACTGTCACTTTTTATACTGTTAGCAGATAAGTCAAAGATCATGATTATAATTCAAAATCTGTATTTACTGCTTTGGTACTTCCTTACTTTAATTAAATATAGCAAGACAATAGATTAATTATCAATCAGTGTTACATATTTTAAAAACATTTAACCTGTATAACATTACAAATAAATATGAATGGTAACTATTCTATATTAAATATTGCCAAGTTTATTGCTAAATAGTAAACAGATAAGTGAGCAGCTTACCCTTTCAGAGTTAAAAGTGTAACGAACAACACATCGATACCAGCAAGCATCTACTGAGTATTGAGCACCATATATCTAAAAATTAAATATTAAAACATAAATAAATTTTCCTGAGTGGGAATCTTTATAAGTAAAAGGCGATTTATTATTAACAAAAACCATATTAGCAACTAACAGCTTTTGCATAGCTCATGTATATTATTTTAAAAAATTTAATTAAAATAATTTTTTGAAATAAGTAGATGTAAATATATAAATAATTGCATGACTTAAAATTAAACCAGACCTTTTTACCCTCAAACTCTTAAAATCGTACAATATCATCACAAAATCTTTCAATACATTATCTTAATAGTAAAATAATAAACATACAGTACATATAATGTATACATCTCAAAATCATACATTGTACGCCAAAATCGTAAAAAATAACAGGTCTGTTAAACTGATAATAGTCTCTTATCCAAAACTTTGAAACACTTACTTTTTCTGGTTCTGGTTTTCCTGAGAGTTTGGGAGCCTCTGGACAAATAATGGCTAACTGTTCGAGGATACTAGTTAGTTCATTTATACTATCCCCAGATGATTTTTGGCCCCACATCATAATAGGTGTTTCTACATGGGATATAAGTATTCTCTGCAAATAATATTGAAAGCTGCTTTGCAAAAAAAGATATTTGAGATAAATACTTTCAAGCCATACAGTTATACCAATAAATAAAATTAACACTGTAAATTGTCTCTGTCAAGAATGCATTCAATGACCAATATTTTTTAAAAACTGGTATTGGTCGGTTTTGTTTAACAGCTTTTCCTCCCTGTTAGCTGACTGTATTTGCTAATGAATTAATTCCACCCAGCTATATTTACACATAGCTAAAGATGGCCCCAGGTGAAAAGTGACTTCACAACCTTCCAGTCCAAAGGCAGACAATCTTGTAGTTCCACCACTGACTGACATTTACTAAGCTATGGTTTGCAATTGGGAATATTAATGAAGTTACATATAGGCCCAAATGTCACCAAATAAGGTATAGTCACCAAACATAATATGTAAACTATTTTCAAGCAAATCTCTTCAGTTTAAAAATTGCCAAACACTGATTCAGAACTAACCTTAAAAAAAATGTGTGAGAGGGTAAAGAAAATTATTTGTTACGACAGGGCTGTTTACCAATCCCTTTTAGTAACATTAAAATAATTGTGGAGCCACCCGCCATTTCTTAACTTTATGATAAGAGATAAACTTCTTACTTCTGTTTCTCTTTTCATTTGCTGTCCGGTATTACTTTCAAATGATGGCACTAGAAAATACAAAATTCGGCAATGATTATATTTATAAAAATCTTTCATCCTAGTTTTTATAATCTTCAAGCAAGTAAGTATTAATAAATTAATTTGAAAAATGTCTGTCAATTATGAAGCTAATAGAAATATGTTCTACAGCAACGAGAATTGACAAGTTATTGTTACCAGTTAGTTTGAAATCACAAGTATTGGCCCTGTGATTTTATTTAATACAACTGGTATTAATTTCATATATTCAAAACACAAAAAAAAATTTAAAAATTATGACTTAGAGAAGATTCTGTGACAAATTTGCGTAACTATTTATGTTTATTATACTTGTTTTTATATGTCCATTTTTAATGATACTGATTAAAAAAAATAATTTAATTGCAATATACAGAAATGAGGTATTTTGAAAATATTATGAACCATAAGAAATATGGCAAGCAAAAATGTTTAATTTTATTTCCTTTACTTTGTATTAAACAGAATAAAAAGTAAACTTGCATTTTTGTAAAAAGGTTATTCTAATACTATCTAATAGCATATAAAAAATATGTCATAAATATCAAGCAATAACTATTTTTGGATAATAAAAAGTTTCATACCCGCAGACTCACCGATGTCTGGGTTTCGCTGTTTCATTAGAATTGTTTGTAATTTTCCATCTTCATATTTTTCTCCTGTCTCCTCTGACTCACCCTCTTTCCTTGGAACAGGAGCACCCCTATTTATCAAAAACAAAAATAGCTAATTGAAAAAATTGGTGCATAATTTTGATGTGAAATCTCAAAAACAGTAATTTAATTCTCACTTTACCTTCCTTTCAAACTTTACAATACGCCAAACATGTATACCTTAGCATTTTAAAACATAAATGTAAAAGCATTCTGCATAATGTTAAATTTTTAAATATTTGTGATAAGAGCATAACATTTAACTCCTGAGTTGGGATCCTTTTTTTTTAAAAAAAGACACTAATTCAAATAAAACAACCACTTCCAACCAATAAATAGAAACTTGAAAATTATAAAGTTGATACTTTCAAGATCTCTACAAAAATTCTAAAAACTCCCCCTGGGGCTGAAAAAGGAGGGTTTTGAGGGTTTGTAACAACAATAAAAAGAATTGAATTAATAAGGCACTGTTAGACACCCTAGAAAATTAAAACTTGGTACCATCCAGGCTGATACCCAAAGATTCCTACAAAAATGTTTTTAACAAAATTTTAAATCTTATAAGTCCCTTATAGGGAGGTTTCTAACTTTTTCTACATCTGAAAAATATGACATTTCCAATCCTCCTAGACACTTCAAATTTGATAACAGAGAAACTGAGATCACAACAATACCTAAATCACATTTTTCTTTATTTAAATAAAAATTTCAGAGTACTAAAATACCATTAACCCGCAAGACTACAAATTAATAAATAAATGGTTATGCAACATATCTGGCTTGTATTAAATGTTTTAACATAGTGGGGCAGTGGGTTTAGCGGAGGGTAGAAGAATGACAGAAATGGAAAAGAGGCATGTAGTTTTGTTATAAAGAGTTTGTGGATAGGTAGGTGAAAGGTAGATGATAGGAGAGGAGTGGTTTGAGGTTGGGAAGGGTGGATGCTGTAGAGAGAAGGATGAATTGGTAGTAAGGAACTTAGAAGCAGTAGTAAATGAATGACGATTTGGGGATTAATAAGAATTATGGAGTATGTTGCAAGGTGAAATACAAAATTAATTAAACAAAGCAACAATTTAAATTAGTTCAAAGTAATGGAGGACCAAACCCTTTAATTAACTCCCCATCTTTGGAAGAAACTACAGAAGTAATCAACTCCATGAAAACTACAAAGCCCCAAGAGAAGACCTCTTCACAGCAGTACTTATTAAATATGGAGGAAGAGAACTACACACTCAGACACAAACTTATAACTAAAAATTTGGCAAGAAGATAAAATCCCAACAGAAAGGTTAACAGCACTAATAACACAAATACACAAGAAAGGTTCCAAACGTCAATGCACAAACTACAGAGGAATTTCCTTATTAAATGTTAAATACAAAATACCGAAAAAACTAAAACCGATCACTGTACAAACCATTTTCAGATGCCTATTAAAGAAATGTTATGAATGTAATATCCCAGTACATCAACTCTATGTGGACTTTAAATGGCCTATGGCAGGATAAAAAAGTATCTATATGAGACTCTTCAAGAGTTTGGCATACCCAACAAACTGAAAAGTCTGATACATTTAACATTAAGCAACTGAAAAAGCAAAATCAAGGTTCAGGGTGAATATCAAAGAGAATTTCAGATTAGACGTGACTCCTTTTCTCACTGTGTTGTACGCTATTTAACTTAACATTGGAGAGTTGAAAGAAGCATACATATTAACACATGGGGAACAATAACAGGATACTTTCTGAGGGAAACCCAAAACCAATAGGCACTTTCTACAACCAACTCCTTAAGTATCTTGCATATGCCAATAAAATAGCACTGTTAGGGAAAAGTAGTAAAGACATATCAAAAGCTTTTATTGAATTAGAAGACGCATCACTAGACGTTAACCAAAAAACAAAATACATGACTATGCAGAGAGAAGAACAGACAGATGAAACCATTAAAATTGGAAACCCAAATTTTGAAAAAGTAAATCAATTCAAATAACTAGGCTCTTTATTAAATGAAAAAAAAAATAAACGACTAACAGAAATAAAATAAAGAATATCGGCTGGAAATAGGGCATACTTCAGTAGTCAGAGCGTTTTTCATCCTGTTAAGTAGTACAATGTTAGCCATTGACTGGGTGATGAAAACATCTACACAGCAGAAAAGGAATGGCATCCAATGGACCCAACAACAGATGCAGGAGAAAACAAACATTGATGCAGCCACTTCTGCTAGCATGGGTCTCAACATTCACAAAGGGAAGAGTAAAATCCTCAAGGTTAATGCCACCAGTACATCACCCATTATGCTTGAAGGAGAAGCCCTTGAGGAGGTGGACAGTTTTGTTTACCTTGGCAGCATGGTAGATAAACAAGGTGGTACAGATGCGGACGTCAAAATAAGGATAGGAAAAGCAAGAGCAGCCTTCCAACAACTCAAGAATGTTTGGGTCTCTAACAACTTAGGCAGCAAGTTAAAAGTAAGGATTTTTAACGCTATGGTAAAACCTGTGCTGCTATATGGAGCCGAGACATGGAGAACAACGGCCGTAAACCTGACCAGAATCCAGTCCTTCATCAACAACTGTCTAAGAAGGATTCTCAGAATTCACTGGCCAGACAAAATCAGCAACCAGGAACTGTGGCAGCGGACAAAACAGAAACCCATTGAGGAAGAGATTCTCCAGAAGCGGTGGAGGTGGATTGGTCATACACTAAGAAAACCTGCTTCTAACATAACAAAGCAAGCCCTGAAATGGAACCCACAGGGTAAGCGGAAAAGAGGCCGTCCAAGAAACACTTGGCGCCGAGAATTGGAGACAGACATCAAGAAAATTGGCCATGAATGGAAGATCCTGGAGAAGCTGGCCCAGGATAGAGATGCCTGGAGGTCTCTCGTAGGTGGCCTATGCCCTTGGAGGAACCGCAGATGCCGACGATGATCGGTGGATGCCCCTCATGGACGAGAAGGCTCAACTCAGTAGTCAGAAAATATTCCATAAAGACATTACAAGAAAAACAAAGAAAACTATATATAAAACTTTATTCAGACCAGTTATACCAAATGCAGGTGAAACTTGGGCCCTTACAAAATCAACAGAAAGTCTATAATTAAACACATGGGAGAGAAACGTTCTCCGGGAAAATATAAGGACGCTGGCCAGGACTCTTACAGAGAATGCCAAATGACAGAGGAGTGAAGAGGGTGCACAACCAAAACCCCAGAGGAAAACGGTTCAAAGGCTAAGATGTATGGATGATGTGGGAAGGGATTTACAGGAGCTGAGAATCCAATCATGGAAAAGAAAATCATCAGTTAGGCCTGAGTGGAAGGCACGCCAAAGCCCTACATGGGCTGTAGCTCTACAGGGATGGATGAATAACTATAGCAGCGGTTCTCAACCTGTGGGTCGCGACCCCTTTGGGGGTAGCACGACCCTTTCCCAGGGGTCGCCTAAGACCACCTGAAAAGACATATTCTCAACAGTTATGAAGTAGCAACGAAAATAATTTTGTGGTTGGGGGTCGCCACAACATGAGGAACTGTATTAAAGGGTCGCGACATTAGGAGGGTGGAGAACCACTGAACTATAACTTCACTCTACATTTTTTTTTTAAAACTGCTTAAGCTTTACTGCAATCCAACACTCTTTTAATTACCTTTTTGCAGCCTTTTTAACAAGCATTTTATTTCCACCTTCAAAACTTGTTCCATTAACTTCTTCAATAGCTTTCAAGGCATCTTGTTCACAGAAGAATTTAACAAGGCTAAGGATGGAAAATACAAACAAGGTTAAATTCAACTTCCCAATTGACCATATAAATGAATTTTAGAATTATTTTACATTATTACCCTCTAATTAAGTTATTGTTTTAATGTAAATTCAACTTACCCAAATCTGCCCCCATCAGAGGAGGTATTCACCCATATATTGTGCACTTCACCATACTTTGAGAATATTTTTCCAACCTTTTTCTGCAAAAAAACAATAATATGAATTATTTTTAAATTTTGACAATAGAATAACCACTAGAATAAGAAAAGTATATCCATACAGCCAAACCTGAATAAACAACAGCTACAAATGTAATGTTGATTGAGTTAGCAGACAGCAGCTAATCTTATAGATAAGTCACATGATTTAAATACTACTGCATAGATTAATGAAATGAATATGGTAAAACTGAAATAGAATGTTCTGTAATTACATTGAAAACTTTTTAAAAATCTTTTTTTTTTTTAATTTTATACATTTGATACAGACTTCAGTGGTCAAGTGATAGAGAGCTTGCCATGGGTTTTAATTCAATTAACATTGGCTGCTCAATTTTTTTTTTTCAGAGGAAATTCTATACAACTCAATATTGATGTTATAAAGCTTGTTTCTGACGTGTACTATGTAAACTGATGTGAAAGCATTTAGGTTAATGGGTTGTTCCTACAAGGCGTTTCTCCCGCGGTCACGTGACGTAAACAACTCCATCACTGAGTGTTAAGCCTCGAATCGATACTATTCAGAATAGTATTCTATCATCATTACGATCAGTTTCTTTTCCCATAAAACGCATGTAAAATGGCAGCATTTAAACAAGATGTAGGTAGAAAAGTAAATACTTGCAAAGTAACATACAAAGAGTCTTTAGATGCAGTTAGTAGGCAAAGATATAATGTTAAATTAGCTCTAATAGGTGGAGTAGATCCATACGAAAATAACATGTGGTCCACTGACGTTGCCCATTTACCGATAATTGAACAGGACATATATGAATATCTTGTGCATAAAATAAGTTTTTACTATTCAACAATTTAAAGCTTCGAAGCAGCTTGGGGCTCATAATCAGCTTACTTCAGGATGGTTCATTTGTAACAGTCTTTCGGTTGATATTTTTCAACCAAAGACGGCGTCAGCGTTCAGTTATTTCCAGCAATTCTTTTCCTTTCCCATTTATAGCCTCAGGTATATGATGGAAGGAAATTCCACTATCCTTTTGAATTTTGTTAATGCACCCTTTAATACAACAGGTTACACCCATTGGAAAATGTTAATAGAATTAAAAAATGAACAGCAATAGAACGGTAATAGTAATAGGGGCACAATGAAGGCAATGTAGGATATTATGATCGAAACACTCAGACACGTAGTACACATTGTACGCATAGATTGCTAACGTCAGGGTAGGATCAACCCATACAATTTATTTTGGAGTCCAAGTTGTTGAGGTTTTCATTCATCTTCCATTCTGTGGAAAATTTGCACAAGAAAATTCCAACATGAGTTTGTGCAAGGAATGCTTTCTGACTTGAGAGGGTAGTTTTAGGACCTTTTCCGATCTGGATGTCAGTGCAAAGAAAAATAATTTTCAGTAATCTAGCAGAGTTCAGTTACAAGCTTCAAATGAAAGTGAATAGTTTGCGATTCAAAGTATTGATATACACATACATTGAAGTGACACTGACAGACTATAATAATAATTGATTCTTTGACCAGGATTTGTAATAGGAGACCAACCTTACTTACATCACACGCAAAGAGGGGGGGGGGGAAGCCATGTGGTGTCACATAAAAAGCAGAGCATTATTGAAAAAAAACTGCACTTAATATTTAATTCAAGACATTTTAAACATTATCCTTTTAAGAAACAATAGAAAGTGAATAGTTTGCGATTAAAAGTATTGATATACACATACATTGAAGTGACCCTGACAGACTATAATAATAATTGATTCTTTGACCAGGATTTGGAATAGGAGACCAACCTTACTTACATCACACGCAAAGAGGGGGGGGGGAAGCCATGTGGTGTCACATAAAAAGCAGAGCATTATTGAAAAAAAAACTGCACTTAATATTTAATTATAGACATTTTAAACATTATCCTTTTAAGCAACAATTATAATTATTTTATTTCTTAACTATAATTAACTGAGAGAATCAGTCCAGGTATGCAAGGTCCGAAAAATGGCCATTTATCAAGTTATAGGCTGCCACTGAAGAGAAGAATCAGGGTGTAGTGACATTGACAGTTGTGAGAATTTGTCGCATTGTGGAGATGGGAGTCTCATAATTAAGGCTACTAGGTGAAGGGGGATAGAATGAAAAATGTTTGGGGGGAGGGTGATCTTAGAAAATGTTCTTGGGTAAGGATTCTTAAACATTTTTGCAGCACTGTAATCTCTCAATTTCAAAACATTTCCTTCAAACATTACAAGTTATGAGCAAACAAAAATTCACCAGAAAAAAATGTACTGTTAAAAATCAAAATGCATAAAATCTGATTTTTTTTCAAAAGCAGCAACAACAGCAATGGCAGCAAATTTTCTGGGTCTTTCAGTACTTTCACTACTGACTACTGGTTAAAAACCTTGTTTTAAACACATGTTGACACAGATGCAGTAATTCAATACTTATATTCAAATTTTTTGGGACATGGGGAAGTGAATTTGTTAAGGCTTTGTCATTGTCAAGGACAGTAATGGACAGAGAGATTTTTTTATAGGGAGTGGGTGCAGAGGTTAGTGATTGTGAGTTACATTTAAAGGGGGAGTCCTAACTTTTTGTGACGATTGGGGGTAAATTTTGGGTTAACAGTATGGGTTTTGCCGTGGGTTATGTGAATAGATTGTACAAACATCGAAATCTTATTTAGTACGGCGCTGACCTCGGGGAACCTCCTTGACCTATATATTATAAACTGTGGATGTGGACCACAAAAGTCCACATGGCTGGGCTTACCGATAACCCGAAATCAACCCGATTGGGGGGTGGGTCAAAATCTGCAGAATTTGCGCAACGTCTGTGACATTCATGGACAGTCCCTAAAATCTAGTGTCAGTCAGTCCCACTCTATTTTGAACATGAGTCAAATGAGTCATGGCTTTTAAATTATCATTTTTTTTGTACAGCAAATATAAGCTTTTATTTTATTTTTTTTATATTAAGTGCAATCCTGATGTTTGAGGACTTATTAAGAGTTCAGCCTATTTTTTAATAAAATTATGCTCCTATGCTCTTCTTCACAAAAATTGTTAGTCTTGTTAGCTGACTCACAACTACTTTTACTTTTGTAATAGTAATAGTTTAATAATAGCTGCTTCACTAAATTCACTAGATTTGGTGCTAGTCTTACTCTGACTCTGTTACTAAGAAGTTACTTATTTGGCACAATATAGATTTATCTAGAAATTCGCATCATTGAAAAAATAATGACCTGATCAGCATCTGGTGGGAGATTTCCAACAAATACATCAAAAGTGATAACTTTCCCTTTCGGGGGAATAGTAGACATCGTGTTACAGCTTTCAACGCCTAAACCTCTTCATGCGTACATCTAATGAAAGCCGGGATCATTGCCGGTTTGGTAAATTTCAGAGCTCATTTAATATACAGAATGTTCTTGAAATTAAAGATTTAAAGGGCTATATAATTATTTTTTATAACTCAACATATAAAAACTCAAACATTATCATAAAAATAAACACATATTATCAATAAAAATCAAATTGACTAATAAAGTTCTTTAAAGGCCTAAGTAATGTCATTTGAGATTATAAATTTTTTAAGTATAAAAAGGAAAGAATAACGTGCATGTAAATATTAATTTTTTAGAGTTATATTTATATCTTATTAAAATAAATCCTCAAAATTTCATAGAACAATCATATGTGTTTAAATCTTATATACATGTAAAAATAAATAAATATAATATGTAAAGAAATTATATGATGCTCTGGCATAATCGTTGCTTTTAAATTCGTAACTTACCAAAAGCAAGAGCAAAACCTATGACAAATTTTGGCTTACAGTTGTAATGGATGAAATATCCTAGGGCTAATAAAGTGGTCGGCAAACTCATTAGTCAAAAGAGCCAAAAATCAGCAGCAGAACGATTTTTTTTTAAATTTGAGAGACAAATTACTTTTCAAGAACCATTTTTTTGGAGTCAAAACCGATTTCTGGCCGAGCCGCACTCAGGTCGCTAAAGAGCGGCTCGCGTGCCGCGATTTTCCGACCACTGCGCTGGACTAATATATTAATTTCGTAGATAAATATTTTAATTAAGTCATACTTAATAAAAGTATCTAATGGATTAATTTTATTGTTTATAATGTTTTCTCCCATCCCACCTCTTTCTCTCTCCCCCACCCCTCTTCAGCTCCCCTTCCCTCCCAGGAACGTCATTTCAATTTTTTTTTCTTACACCCCCCCCCCAAAAAATAAAGTGTTGGGCAAATTGAAAACCTAGTTGGCTTGTTAAGTTGTTTATTTCGAGCTAGCCAGTAGCCAGTCCTGCAAGATGTGGGCATATAATATTTTGTCACTGACTATTTCTGATTAGAGTAGAAATTATTAGAAATTAACTTTTGGTGTATTTAATTTAATTTGCTAAAACAAAGGATATCGTATTGATGATTTCGGTCTTTTAAAACAAATACGAATCGTATTTGTTTTAAAAGACCGAAATCATCAATAACTTTGTCAATGTTTTACATTGTTTGCATTTTCTTGGAGGCATGCTATTGCCAGCAGATCACTGAGTCGTGTTTTTCTATTTCTGATGTGTTTTAATCTTTTCATGATTATAAAAAAAAAAAGCGTTCGTTTTCAACTGATGTTACTGGAAATCGTCGGTGCTTCTTTCAGTAAATTCCCCCCCCCCCC